TATAATAGCATTTGTAAGTTTTGTGAGATATTCTTATGTTCTATTTCGAGCTGAAACGTGTTTTGCGGGAGCGCCTTAGATAGTTTTATAAGTTAGGCTTTTGTAATATTTCTAATTAAAAATTTTGGCCTATAAATGGAACATTATCTCTAGGGCAATAAAAGCTATAAATAAATAAATAAATAGAAGAATGTTTGTACGTCTCCATGCACGACTTTCTGAAACAGGCAGCTTTAAAAGATGAACGGAGGCCTGTAGTGGTACGCATAGTTCAAATTGAACAATTTGTTTTAAATCAAATTGAAACATATCCTCATACCAGTACTCGAAAAATAGTTGAAGAACTGAATATTACCCATGTCACAGTGTGGCAGATTTTAAGAGACCAGCAGCTAGTTTTAAATGACTTTATTGTTTATCGAAGTATTCTCCACGTAGATTAATATACATCTGCATGCGCTCGAACCAATTTTCCACGCACTTATTCCACTCGTTTGCTGGCAGATCCAAAACGACATTTTTGAATGCGTCAACTGCTTCTTCTGGTGACTGGAACCTTTGACTACGCAGTGTGTTTTTAATTTTCGGGAAAGTAAAGAAATCGTTAGGACTTAGATCGGAACTATATGGAGGATGGTCCAATAATTCCAAGTTTTCTTCCGTTAAATACTGCCTTATTTTTTGGGCTGTGTGCGAGCTTGCATTGTCTTGGTGGAGGATGCAATGCTTTCCATTATTAACAACCATATTTTCTCTATAACCTGTGTTTTTATTCACGTCAATATGTACAGTGATTGGTGTTTTAGAGGCAAATTATCGTTTTATCACCAATTTTCCCTCTTGCTCTCATAGTTTTTTAATTCTCATACGAACTTGAAAACTTTTTGATATATTTGTACAGGATACAGAGGCGAAAAATAAATGAAGACTTTTTACTTAATTTAAGAACTCTGTGGCATGTTCTTAAATTGAGTCGTCTTTTTTTTCACCACTGTAGACAAACGAAACCAATGACGATATAAAAATTGAAACATAGAAAGGCAATAGATTCCGTCGACGGACTCATTTTAACACATAATTTTCTTGGATACTCATTTTTACTATTTTTTTCCGAATAATCATTTTCTCATTATTTTGGGACGTTTCACAATAGAGTGAGATGCTCAGGTCCATGAAGCGTTCCAATAAATCGAACAATTGATATTTGGTATATGGTGAGGTAAAATTTGGCTGACGTCGTAATGTGTACGTGGCCTCGTCACTCGAGTTGCTAGGCAACGAGGCGCTTCTCTCTCTTTCTAACACACGTATTGGTCGCAGCATACATTACGATGTCATTGGTATATGGATTTCACTGGATATCGAGACTTGAAAGCACCTCCCCGCAATTGCGACCAAGCATTTTTATTCATATCAATGACGTGACCAGATAAAAGCTTCCAAGCTACTCATTTTTCCTTACAAAATGCAGTGGAATTCACTTATTATGAACTTGCTTATAATGGAAACCCGTATATAATGGACACAATTTAAGGTCCTATAAATAATTGCATGTAAAATCCTCGGATATTGTAGACTCGCTTAAAATAGACCCTTGCTTATAGCAGACTATTTTAATCCATTATATGCAAGTTATTTTGGTAGTTCCCCAAGCAGATTTAGCTGATGCAATCGTTTACGGCGGTTTGGCTTTGCAGTTTGCATTCGAACTTGGCCACCAGTGTTATACTGTATTTATTAGAGTTATAAACATGTCGAAAAGTGGGAAAAGTGCATTCACTTTATACGAAAAGTTCACAATAATTAGTGAGCTTGAGCAGGGTTTATCTCAAGCAAATATATGTGCTCGTATGGCTATAAAAAAATCCACGGTGTCAAATATTTGGAAAAACCGTGACAAAATTAAAAATGACTGGAATTCAAATAGTCAAAAGAAAAAATGCGGCTATCGCTGCATCCCCAAGTCGATGATATGCTGTTCAAATGGTTTCAACAAAAGCGTGCTACAAATAAAGGCTGAAGAATTTGGGAAATTGATTGGAGATTACTTCAAAAGACATAACATTGTTTTTGGAAAAATGTGTGTTGAGTCAGCTTCAGTTGACAAGAACGTTACCAATGACTGGATTTCTCCAGTTTGGCCCGTAATATCCAGTGATTATTCAGATGATAACATATTCAATGCAGATGAATTGTTGTTACTCAAAATTTTGCGGAGCTCGTACGTAGTGTCAATTTCACGATCTCCAATTATCACTATCTGGCAATCAACTGCCACATGCAATATATATATATATATATATATATATATACCACGTGTTTCGAATTCGGCTATCACCATTGAGATCCCGGAAACCGGAGCGAGAACTAATTCCGTTAAATAGGGGCATATTAGCGCATTCAGGTAACTAAAAAAATGGTACTGAAGCTTCGCAATTCGTTCATTTTTAAAAACAAGCTTTTATTTAGGTGTTATGAACTAACAATTCAGACATTTTTTTCTATAGGAAATATTTAACGACCGAGAAGCTCCATCTCAAGTCTAAATAAAAAAGTGTTACACACTTTTACCGTAATGTCAAAACGTCAGACGCTTTTATTTCAGAACTTGAGATAAAGGAGCTTCATGTTTCAAATCTTTCCAATCGGAAAAAATATTTCTCAGTTGTATTCGTGTGTGTACGAGGGCGGTTCAATAAGTACCCGTGTTAGAAATGAAGACACCATTTTTTCCAAAAAAATTATTTTTATTTTTTAACATAATCCCATTTTAGATAGATACACTTTTCCCAACGTTCCTGCCTTTTTTAACCCCCCAAAAAATGGGATTTGTCGAACTCTCCAAAATACGCCTGTCTCGGCGATGACTTCCTCGTTTGAGCTAAATTTTTCCCCGCGAGCTATTTCTTCATGTCAGGGAACAAGAAAAACTCGCAGGAGGCAGATCGAGTGAATAGTAGTAGCACTCCTTAACGCAATTCATGCAGTTTGGCGGCTACAACTCCGGATGAATGTGCTGGTGCGTTATCGTGGTAAACAGCACCTTCTTTTTCGTCAAATGTGGCCGCGTCTAGCTCAGTTTCTTGTCGAAGCGGTCCAATAACTCACTATAGTATTGTCCAGTGATCATTCTTCCTTTTTCTAAAAAATCCACGAGGATGATGCGGTTCGCATTCCAAAAAATCGTCGCCATGACCTTTCCGGCCGTCTTCGCCTTCTTTGGAGCAGATTCACTGGGAGAAGTCCATTGTTTTGATTGTTGCCTGGTTTCTGGTGTGTAATGATGAATCCAAGTTTCATCGACGGTGACTACTCGACGCAAAAACTCCTTCGGATTTCGCTTAAATTGCTCCAAACACTGCTTCGAAGTGAACAGCCGCATCCGCTTGTTGTCCACCGTGAGCAGTCGCGGCACCCGACAATTTGTTCATAGCCAACTTATCATGTAATATATTGATTGCCGTTCGGCACGGGTATCATGTAGAAAACCTACAACACGTCAAAAAAAACCTATAAGATATCAACTTGCAGACTAGGTAGTTTTTAGGGCGCAAGCAGTCATTCCACGTTTGCTCACTAGGATTTTTGTGAACGTCCATCTATGGAGGAATCACTCAACTAAGCTACACGCATTATTGGTTGCATTTGTGAGGCTGAATGATCCGTATCTGTAGTTTTTATCTCTGAGAAGAAAGTTGGTTGAATAGCAAGATCGCACCTGGATGATTATGTGTATTGGTCTGCATGTGTATAAAATCAGTGATATTTGCTGTGTGAGAAAATCATTACTGAATATGCTGAATATGACGGGGTATTTAGAAGTTGTGCTTTCTGAAGAGAGGTTATCTTCAAAGTTATAAATTACGAAAAACTTAGAATTACGGGAAATCATCACCGCGCCCGCGTTGTGTGTAATTACTGTTAGCATTTAAATGACTTGTACTTTGACAGTGTACAAGTGAATATAATTATTTCTGATTACCCTCATTTTTGAAATTCATCTCGATTAAGTGTATTTGAGACAAGAGCCCAATGTAATTATCATCAACACATACAACTTACAGCTTAGACCTCCAGTAATGCATCTCAGAAGCAGATTTACATCATATCAGAGCCAAAGATTGATACCAAGCCTCATGACGTTTAGGTAACACGTACAACTAAGTGCTCAGTTATCATATTGTATAAAAACCTACATAATGTAAAAAAAACCAGCTTAATGTCAAAAAAATCGGCATAATGTAACTTTTCAAGATTCGTGATACCCGTGCCGGTCGACACACCTCCGGCATCTGCTACTTCGCGCACTTTCGTTTGTCGATCAGCAAGAATCATGTCGTGGGCTTTTTGAATGATTTCCTCGGTAACCGCGTCTGCCGGGCGTCTTGGTCGATCCTCATCAAAAACGGATGTTCGCCCACGTTTAAATTCGATTTACCAATATCTAACTGTGGTCATAGATGGCGAAGTGTCCCCATAAACAGTATCCAACTTTGCTTTTATCTCCTCGCATTTTTCCCATCCAAAAACAAAAAGCGAATTACTCGAATGGCTGCCAAATCCAAACTAACGTATTAATCAGTCTGAAATTTATTGTGCCGTCGTTTGACAGATAGCAGCACACGGTGGTAGCCTTAGCTTCCCTCAGGAGCGCCCTCTGTCGTCAAACACGGGTACTTATTGAACGACCTACACACTTCAGCTCGACTGGTTTAGAATTCAGATTGGTCCCACACGTACAGGTCGAGCTAGATAAAAGCTTGTATAAATCGAATTTTCCTATTTTTTCCTGACTTTCAAAATGAATTGCGCATGAACATTGCCAATGATATCTCTCGTCCTTAACCGACAACATTTTTCTTACGGTCTCCATATTGGAAGGCTGCCAGGTAGGAGTTCCAGGTTGTGGTATGTGTAACTGTAAGATTTTTAAACCGGCGCACTGTTTTTGGAATCGAGGTAATTAGGTTGTAGGGAAGAAGAAATCAAACTCTGAGAAATGTAATAAACTTTTTCTTATTCAAACCTATAATCTTACATAATATACATAGTACAAAAAAACTAGTTTGAACCCCCCAAACAGAGGCAATCAAAGGAAACATATATTCGTTACTGTACAAAAATCTATACTACTGTACATTACTGTAAAAGCAAATAAATAATGTGTCCTTGAAATAATATACAATATATTATATATTTATATAGGATGTCGAACGAAACAACCTTTATACAAAAAGAAGGAAATCCAAAACCAACAGGACTTGCCAATACTTATTACTAGAGGTCGATCCACATCCCTTCATAGCCCAGTCCAACTGGATTCAAACCAATTACGAACAAGAAAGCACCAATGAAGTCTTTACTAGAGTGCTAAAAAATTGACAGATCACAGATAAGAACAAATACCTCAATACCTAGAGGTTGTGTAACTGAGTCAATAATATAGCAATTCTCAATACACTTCTAAACGTCCCTGCAATAAAGCAATAGAAAGTATCAGCGATTTTTCATACAAATCTGCGAAACCCATTTTTTCCACTATTTTTATGCAGGATCCTTTACTTTCGCTTCGTTGTTATCCATTTTCACTGGACTATGAAGATTAATGGATCGTCCTCTACTTATTACTTAGAAGTAAATGGATTATCGTTGTAAAGAAAAGCATAATCGAGATCATTTTTCAAAACCGGCGGCAAAAGTTCATGAACGCGAGAAACAAATTCCCCCAAAGATGTCCCCCAACGCTTTTGACGTCACCTGTTTTTTTGTTTTGTTTTGCATGTAAGATAATCAATTGGCACTTCGAAATAGCACTTTCATAATAGTGTTTTAATATATAACTTTTTATCAGAAGATGCGTACGTCTAACACTATCTAGTTAGAACATTTTGTGTTACTCACATTGAATACTGAATAGCAGTTTGCTAAAATACCGATTTCTTTTTTTCAACAGGCACAGTAGACAATTAAAAATAACCATTGGTACTTTTTAAACAACATTGACAAAACATGGCCTCCGGCAAATCACGATAAAACTCAACATTACAAAGACAAAAAAAGCACAAATAAAAATTAAGTGATACTTAAAACATTTCTTCGCTTTTTGACAAGTCAGCTTGCACTTGCCTTGACGACGGCTTTCAAAGGCATTTCAAGGACATTTAAGATACTTTTCGGCTTGCGAGCAGTTTGACAATGACATTTATGGCGTCTATACAAAGCATGTAAACATGGAGCCTATATACCAGGAGAACCTGAGAAATGGGAGAAAAAAAAACTCCAAAACTTATCGAAGTGCATGCGCAGAGTATCTGAGGTTATAGGATGAATTTCGACCGCTTGAATCTGCAGGTATCTGTTTTTTTAACTCAATTTGATGAATGATAAATAGTAGAGTAGTAGAACAGATTACAGCAGGGGTGCCTGGCAAACGCAACATGGCAACCCTGTCAAAGCAGCACTAGTACTCTAGGCGTGGTTTTTTTTAAAGCCTCTCCACACTCACGCTAGAATCTCGCGAGAAAGCTGAAAAACATGAGAAATGTGAATGTGGACCCGATTTACATAGTCTTCGCAGGTTCTCGGCTTCTTTTCCGATTTTGTCGTTTTTTTTTTTGGCGCGAGACAAAAGAGCTGAGAACAGGCGAGAACTTGTATTGACTCGCATGTTTCTCAGTGGCAGGTGACTCGTTGATTAGAACGGTTGTGCGTGGTTAACTACTGAGCATCAATATTCCTAGAATATTTTCAAGCAGAACCGATTTTGTGGAATGCAAATTCAAAAGGATATAAAAATAAACTAAAAGCCCACGATGCGTGGAAACGTATTAGTACCTTGAAGCAAAAAAAAACGTTATTAGCAAAGGGTATGCAGAGTAATAAGCTTCTCACGACAATTTAATCCTGCGTCCATCGTCATCGAACACGAGAACTGTATTGAGAACCTTGCGTGTGGACCCAAAGAAGTTCCCACCGAGATTCACGCGTGAGTGTGGAACGGCTTTTACAGAACGAACACCATTGCCGTAGTTTCTCCTGATATATCGGCCCCGACTGTGGTTAAAACGTGATTTGACAGGGGCCAAACAGGCCTTGAGAATGGTCTTGAACAGTGAATAACCAACGTGGAGCATGTAAATAGACTAAAATACGCTTGGTGACACGCTTCGTTTGCGGCCACTAGTCTCTACATACAGGAAGGTTAACCGTGCATACTCAGCGTTACTTGTTTTTTTTCCTTAAATTCGTCTCCGAAAATTCAAGTCACTTTTTTGTACATTTATGTACACAGAGAAACAGGAAATGTGCTCGACACATTCAACAACAGTTATTATCGATCTTTGTAAACGTCAGAGAAATTGTAAAACTCGGCAAAAAGAAAATAAATTCGAATCGTGTAACGTAACCGTAAGATTGCACAACGTAAAACCATCGAACTTCTTTCTCCTACCTTCACAAAGACAAGTATTATCACACAAAAATTAAAAAATTACTAAAAAGTTCCCGCTACTAAAACAGCGACTACTATCACAATAGATTTTAAAAAGTCTCACTGAAAAATTTTCGTCTCAGGCGCGCTATTTAGTCCAAGAAAATTAGTACTGCTTTTAGGAAAAATCGCGCCATGTGGAGTGCTTCCATAGAAATGAAGTTCATCGTCTGAAATATTAACAGAAAGCCTCAATTTATCAGGAGTTTAGCAGTTTCATATAATAACGACAGTTTGACATTACCTAAAAAGAAAAAACAACATATGAAGTCATGCGTATATACCAGACATTTGTGAACCTTTGGAGATATTTATTCAACATGTTGAGCAAAATTCGGCAATGTCAATTTGTTCTATCAGAACGTGTATTTTTTGTTCAAAGTAGTTGAGAGATATCCCATAAGATTTCACGTGACCGTTTCGTATATATGTACTTGAACACTGCTGAATCATCTCCGGAACATCAAATATCGAGGAAAACCTATTCGACCTGTAAACCGCGAAATAGGACCTCAACGTTGTAAGTAGTTTTTCTTAATTGATATTGTAATGGATTGAAATTGTCGTGCTCGACATAAACAAATTAAACTTCTGCATTGTGGCCGTACCTTCGAGAACTTGTACTATGTATAAAATTTACTAACCTCCTGAAAATATAAAGAACGTTTTAGCAAGATATATCAAACGACAACACCAATTTCTGTGACTAAGCCCCACATCGTCACGAGTTTTCCGAAAACCACACACTAATATCCCTGGACTCATTTGAATCTGACGTTTCGGTGCCAAATCGCAGCTCTTCTTGCTGATATTCTTCACAGCACTGATTTGCTTGTTGTGGACAACGCCTAGCATAGACTATTAGTTAGTCTCATTTGAATCGGATTTTGCTGACTGATCGCCGTCAGGGGCAGAGTCGCTGCCCTCCTCCTTCTTCACGGCGCACATGTGCTTATTAAGGACCGCACCCAGCGTAGACAGTGCGTCTTTAACTGCATGATAGATGATGTTCTTTATTTGGAGTTTGTCCTCGTGGTTGGAGTGCGTGTCGCTCAGATCCCTGAACTCCTGCGTCAGGTGGAAGCAGTGAGAAACGTTCTCCGGGGAGACGAAATCTTCGGCCACCTGAAACAATGAGCTTCACGTTACTGGGTTGATCAAATTTCGAAATTGAGATGATTTTTGATTTTACGTGATATGTAGAAAACGAAAAATGTGGAGTACATGCACTGATACACGTTTATTTGAAAGTATATTCAGGAAAATTTTAAAATCCTTTAATACCCTCTAACTTCGCCTTAAAATGATAAGAAAGTTGAAAATAAGTTTGAGATATTTTTATCTCTTGTCCATATAAAATAAAATCTTAACTACGCCGGGAAATTATCGGGATTTCAAAAAACACCAAAAAACGATATTTCGTCCTTACCATCTGTTAACGGTGGTTCAAATGTTATCAAAATCTGAGCTATACTTTTCGGATTGTAGGACAGTTTTTCGTAGTGTACATACATCCAAAAGCATATCTCTATATCATTATTGTTTTTCGGTTACAGCACCTCCTCGACAATTGGCATAAAAAGTAATTTAATGGTATTCCTTGCCGCCTCTATAACCTGGAATTTACTACTGTGATGAAATTTTGAAACGATATACTAGATCGTTCTATATGTTCGCGAAGTTTGTAAAGCTCTTTTTTCGAGAAGGCGATTTTCACATGTAGCTATGGTATACAGGGTGACGCGAAAATAGATACGGAGCCGGTGGGCGGAGATAGTATAAGCCAATCTGAGTCGATTTTACTATAGGAAAATTAGCCGTTTTCGAATTATACTGATTTTTAAGATTTCATAAAATTAACGTCCTTTATACGTTAACCAAGTCATAAAACTTGAAAATTGGGTGTTTCATTCTTTTTTTTTGTTTTACAATAAAAATATTCTAAAATACGAAAATTGATACTCAAATGTACATTATTGACGTTATCTCATGCAGTAAGCTTCAAAATAGTTAAATTTTTGTTAAAAAAATCTTCGGTCATCTCAAAAACTGAATTTACTAGAAACAATCACCTACAAAAACAAAACAATTTTAAAATATCTACGTTTCATTACCTTTCAAATGAGGTATCAAAGTCACAAACCAGTTTAGAAATGACAAAGCTATGAGTGAAAGAAACGGGTAGGGCCGCGAACATCGGACTTGGCTACAGGAATAGTATGATAAGTAACCCTCCTCCTTCCCTCGCCTCAATCGTCATAGAGGAAGGGGATCCCATGAGGCGCATGCAATTTTGTCGTTTTATTTTAAACGCTGATGATTATTTAAGAAAAATTCTATGGACCGACGAATCAAAATTTGATAAAGACGGCACAACAAACTACCATAACGCTCACTATTGGCGTGAACGTGCAGTGGGAAATCCTCATATGAAGAGACGAAAAAGATCTCAATGGCGATTTTGTCTGAATGTCTGGATGGGCATTATAAATAACTGTTTGGTAGGACCACATTTCCTACCCGACATCTTGAATGGAGAAGCCTACGAAAATTTCTTAAGAAATGTTCTATTCGAATTACTTGAAGACGTGCCGCTACACACAAGACACAGAATGATTTTTTAGCATGACGGGTGCCCAGCACATTTCAGACTAAGTGTTAGAAATTGGTTAAATGAGCAGTTTCCGAATCGATTGATCGGTAGAGGCGGACCAATCCCATAGCCAGCACGCAGTCCCGATCTCACACCTATGGACTTTTTTGTGTGGGGTCGCATGAACACTTCAGTATACTCTGATCAAAATCCTGTAAGCACAATAAAAGACCTCAGAAACAGGATAATACAAGCAGACAAGAAATTCAAGCCTCTCTTAGGAATTCGGCGGTTGTAAAATCAGCTGTCATAAGAAGAGCACGTGTGTGCATTAGAAATCGAGGGCGCCATATAAAAATAAAAAAATGTAGTTTCAAATAAATTATCCTGTATTAAGGTATGATTTGAAAGTGTAGTATTTTTATTGCTTTTTCCTTCCTCCTCATATAATAGTCATATTTTTGCCAATTCTTAATCGATTTGATTTTTATACCTCATTTGAAAGGTAATGAAACGTAGATGTTGTCTAATTATTTTGTACGAAAAATTTTTATGCGACTTTTTCTAGTAAACTGAAGCTTTTGATATGAACGAAGATTTTCTTAACAAAAATCGAACTATTTTGAAGCTTACTGCATGAGAACAACAATAATGTACATTTGAGTATCAATTTTCGTATTTTAGAATATTTTTATTGTAAAACAAAAAAAAATCAAATGCACCCAATTTTCAAGTTTTATGACTTGGTTAACGTATAAAGGACATTAATTTTATAAAATCGTAAAAATGAGTATAAATCGAAAACGGCTAATTTTCGGACAGTAGTTCCTATAGTAAAATCGACTCAGATTGGCTTGTACTATCTCCCCCCACCGGCTCCGCATCTATTTTCCCGTCACCCTGTATAAGACAGTGTTCAGTGGTAGATTAAGGTCCAGTAAGTTTTGTTAGTTTTGAGCGAATAAAACGTGAAAGGGCGAATACTACTCGTATTTCATTCATTTATATGAATTAATTCTAAGGCAACCTAGAAATAACAATTTTTAATGATCTTACCTTAATGCAGTTGTGCAGGTTCCGCACCTGGTGCGGCGCCCCAGCAGGTATAAACACAGCATCGCCCTTGCACTGCACTATAGCATATCCCTCGACGCCGTACTCCTTGTACAGTCTTTCCCTCAACGGCCCGTCCAGGTAGCAACTCTGGTCGTGGATGGGGTCATGGTGGGGTTCCAGGCGACCTCCCTTCTCCACCACGACCTTGTTGAGCAGGTCGCGGATCTTGTCGGCATCGCGGGCGTTGTAAATGTGCCATAGGGCGCCGGGCAGTTCGCCTTTGTCGCGAACGCGGCGGCGAGTTAGAATGTCGCAACCGGCTTCGTCTGGAATAAAGGAAATTTCAAATTGGTCAAAATTCTTCCCATTATTTCCCAGAAACTAATCATAGGAATGCTTTGGACCCACGAGAAGTTTTATTCAGAAAGGCAGGAAATATACCATTTTCAATATGTTTTGTGCGGGTTCCTTTGTACTACAACGGGAAACATGGAGAGCTACACTTAAACTATTTTTCAGGACACTTCCTCGCGGTTAAACATGCCAACAAATAATAGCTGATTATAAAATACTCCATATCGTCAAGTGATACACAACCCCGTCAGGTCTATAGACAGGGTTGTATTAAGAGGAAAGGGTATGTCATTGTGCCCAAAAGAACGGATTCATTATAAACTTACCGATCGCCCTGAACGCCTCCTTGATGTGCTCCTCGGTATCTCCATCCTTGGGAATGCCCACATAGACCATCACATTGACGGCGTCCGAGATGTCCAAATGGAGATTCGTGGTACCCTTATTGGGATGCAGCGCGGAACCGTAAGCATTGTACATCTTGGGACCAAGGTCAGGCCTTACGAAGCAGTCTGGTAGACGCGAAGCCAGGTTCAGACGACCCGTTCGATGCGTGTATTCAGATAGAGGCAGCACCTGCAAAAAAAAATATTGTCAAGGATATGGACAAGAGAACATGCCTTAGGGGATAATCAAAAGGCAGTCTTGAAATCACTAGAACCATTGTTTAACGTATTCTTTGGGCGTCTCGTGCAATTTCCATCATTGCAGTCATGTCACCGAGTACGACCTCCATTCTTCTTTCAAAGAAAATTATTTATGCTTAAATATGGCATCAAACATCCAAGGACCGAACACAATTTAACCTCCACTTTAATCATTCCTTAGATCTCGTATCTTCGGAATTTCGTTAACACCTAAACAAAGAGGCCGAGCAGTATATAGTTGCTGATGGCACCACAATACATATTCGCATTTTCGCGTAAGCATGGTTTTCAACTGTGTTCGTAGAGTATGTTATCAACGCTCAGTGGTTCAAAAAACCTAAAGCATGGCCAAAACTAGGAATATTCACTAAATTTCACCAAACAACTTCATTAATATCTCTTCGAGGTCGCTGATAACATATAGTCGAAATCACGAAAGATGACGCTTACATCATCATTTTAGTCTGTAGTAAAGACAAACGACAGCGATTTGTCTATATTTTTAATGAAGTTTCAGATATGTTAGTCAGAGACTAACATAATTCTATTGTCTAAACAAACTGTATTGCTAATTTGCATGTATCCGACAAAGATAGATGATGTTTTCATGTTGCATGATCGATCATTTTGAAAGATGAATAGTTAGGTTATGTTAACGCAGGTTAGGTTGTTTTCGAACAATACTTTGGTCTTTGTTGTTCCTGTCTAAGGGTGTATTCTATTCATAACTGTTTTTTTTTATATGTTTCTGAGGTCGCTGATAACGAATTAGATAATATTTTTTCGGGATCAAAACGGCGGATAAGTTTGCAAATAATGTTTCAATTGCTCTCTAAGTTAAGTTTTATGTTGCTGACAATGACTCTATTATCGATTTTCAATAATAAAATGACCCAAATATGCAAAAAAATGTTTTGCCAATAGTCTAATCATATTAGACGGAAATACAACTGGTTTGCGGAATATTTGTAATCTGGTTTTATTGCTGGAAGTTGTTCAAGGCGTATTTAAAACATAGACGCATAAAATGGGTACACCAATGTTTGTGGATAAACTTTTATTTGACGTAGGACGAAGGATGAGAAAACGTGTTTTTGAGTTTCAATCGGAAATGTTAGCAGAACAGAAAACTCTTAATATAAGATTTTTAGGTATTTATGAGACGTACAAAATGAGAACACACGTAAAAAGATCCGACATGCCTTAGGGGATAATCAAAAGGCAGTCTTGAAATCACTAGAACCATTGTTTAACGTATTCTTTGGGCGTCACATGCAATTTCCAACATTGCAGTCATGTTACCGAGTAGGACCTCCATTCTCCTTTCAAAGAAAATTATTTATTCTTAAATATGGCATTAAACATTCAAAGACCGAACACAATTTAACCTCCATTTCAATCATTCCTTAGATCTCGTATCTTCGGAATTTCTCAACGTTAACACCTAAACAAAGAGGCCTAGCAGTGTATAGTTGCTGATGGCACCACGATACATATTCGCATTTTCGCGTAAGCATAGTTTTCAACTGTATTTGTAGACTATGTTAATCAACGCTCAGTGGTTCAAAAAACCTAAAGCATGGAAAAAACTAGGAATATTCACTAAATTTCAGAAAACAACTTCATTAACATCTCTTCGAGGTCGCTGATAACATATAGTCGAAATCACGAAAGATGACGATTACGTCATCATTTTAGTCTGTAGTAAAGACAAACGACAGCGATTTGTCTATATTTTTAATGAAGTTTCAGATATGTTAGACAGAGACAAACATAATTCTATTGTCTAAACAAACTGTATTGCTAATTTGCATGTATCCTACAAAGATAGATGATGTTTTCATGTTGCATGATCGATCATTTTTGAAAGATGAATAGTTAGGTTATGTTAACGCAGGTTAGGTTGTTTTCGAATAATACTTTGGTCTTTGTTGTTCCTGTCTAAGGGTGTATTCTACTCATAAGTGTTTTTTTTATATGTTTCTGAGGTCGCTGATAACGAATTGGATAACATTTTTCGAGATCAAAACGGCGGATAAGTTTGCAAATAATGTTTCAATTGCTCTCCAAGTTAAGTTTTATGTTGCTGATAATGACTCTATTATCGATTTTTCAAAAATAAAATGTCGACCCAATAGGGTGGACGTACAATATGCAAAAAAATGTTTTGCCAATAGTCTAATCATACTATTCGGAAATACCACTGGTTTGCGAAATAATTGTAGTCTGGTTTTATTGCTGGAAGTTGTTCAAGGGGTATTTAAAACATGGACGCATAAAATGGGTACACCAATGTTTGTGGATAAACTTATATTTGACGTAGGACGAAGGATGGGAAAACGTGTTTTTGAGATTCAATCGGAAATGTTAGCAGAACTGAGAAAACTCTTAATATAAGATATTTAGGTATTTATGAGACGTACAAAATGAGAACACACGTAAAAAGATCCGACTAATAGCAAAAAGTTATGGCCGAAAACCGAGGCAAAATGCAGGTTTTGGCACTTGTTGGTAATACGACGAGGGTGCTCGCAGATACTTGAAATTCTTAAAATTCGTAGGATTTATTCTTCTAAATAACCACAACAATATTAGAGTAGATTGGTCAAGTAGTTTTTGAGAATTCCTAATTGTTTATCTTAAAACACCTGTTTTCCCAGCCAGCACTGCTACTTTAGTGAGCAATATACAGTGGTAGTTCAAAGGGCATTTTATAGCAAAATACACATCCATGTTTTAAACACCCCCTTGAACAACTTGCACCAATAAAACCAGGCTTTACAATTATTTTGCAGATAGCCGCAGCCAAAACTGACATATTGTTCAACTGGATGTCTGATACACATGGTACTTTTCGAACTAGAGCAGACTGTAATAATTTTCCCAACCTATTTTCAAAATCAATAATTCACTACGAATTACAGAAAAAAATATCAAAATATACTGTCGTACCGGATCATGTGTCGATTGGCCTTTAATACAATGTTACATTTCAAAAACGGTTGTTTTAAAAACATTACACTTTTCGATTATATAGTTTTTTCCCATTTGAACGTTTCAGGCGACAGATATTAACTGGACTATAATTCCGGATGCGGAGCCATCTAAATGAAACTAATCAAAATATGAATTACTTATCCCCGTAACTGAGCAAAATCTGGAGTCAAACGTGAGAAAAAGAATGGACTTTCGATCAGGTTTTTTGGTTCTTCCGGAATATACGTATATATTCTATCATCCTATCAGCTCGAATGTATTCCTGCTATTTTTACGCCCTGTACAATGATGATACGAAAATAACATTTCATCCTGGAGAAATAGTTGTTTCTTACCTTCATCAAATCCGAATATCTGGTGGGCAGCATCTCGGCAAAGTCCTCGCCGGGCGGCCAGTCCTTCAACTTGAGCAACATCGGCTGCCCCCGATCGTCCTTCAGCCTCTTGGCGAAGTTGTCGAAACCCTCCCAAAACTTCCTCATTGGCTGATTCGGCACCAGATTCCCTGTCATGCAGTTGATCAGATCGTTCTTTTCATCGCCGAAATCCCTGGCGAACGATTCCGGATGCCACAGGTCGGTGTCGACATTGCGCGTGACGTCAGATACTATGACTGGCTGACCGCGTTTCCATTGGTCTTGGAATATCTTGTAGTTCTCCTTGCAAAGAGGATCGCTCAGTCGGAGAAGTTTGCCGTCACATAACCAGCTGTGAGGGGTGTCCGGGTATAGGGTTTTGCTCTCGGTCAAAGTCATTATCCTGATCGGGAGTTGCAGCCTTCCCTTTGCCTGCCAGTTGTACCTGAAAATTAATAAAAGGAAATGTAAAAAGCGTAACTTCGGATGTATGCATTTTGATGTTAAATAGCGTCATAGTGGTGGTCAACGTTACGGTAGAGCTAGCTTATTTGTAATAGAGGAAAGTGCGCCTAATAGGCACCCATGCTGCCCCAAATCCCGGTTTTATAGTGGGAACTAAAAATATATCAGGTTCATACAAAAAATATTTAATACCTTCTTACGAAGTGCTTCAGTTCGTTCTTAGGCTCGCTAGATGTCTCCACCTTTTGCGGCACGCTGTCCTCTATCACGCTGGAGATGACGTCATCCAGATCGGCGGGTTTCGTTGGTGGCGGTGGTTTTTTCTTAGTTTCGTTCTTCGATACGGGCGAAGTAGCTCTGGATCCGTTCGCCTTGTGGGACGGTCGGATCAGCAGCTCTCGCAAGGTCGAGAAGTTACCCTCTTCTTCGCTGCTGCTACCCTCTTTCTTTTCGTCTCGATCCGTGATATCTGGAAAATGAGCAACACGTTTAAAGTTTAATGTCACAAATTTTAGAAAATAAGTAGACATAGTAAAGAGATGCTTGTTTATATTAGAATTAACGTAACGAATATCATAATAATTCTACTCACCGTCTTCATCCTTAATCTCCTTCTTTATCCCATTCAGTTTCTCTCCAAGTATCGATCTGACGATCTCTTTGGCTTGTACATTGTTCGATTTCTGCTGCACGTCTTTGCTCATCGGACAGCTGCAGAACTGTTCGATACCCCACAGGTCGCGGATCTCGTGCACCATCTTCCCTAGTTGGTTAGCGAATCGCCGGCGATGATTTGAGTCAACATTAGCTTTTCCTGGAATAAATTGTAAACGTAAAATAAATTTTTGACCAATGAACAGCTTTCGACGCTTGGTGTCTCGGGGTCGAAAATGACATATAGTCAACGCCAAACAAAGTGGCGTGCACGTCATCACGATAAAAATTCCCTGACCTAATGCCTAGGTTTCTATCACAAACAATTGCTCTATTGCAGTTTCATATTAATGTGATATATAAATTGTAAAATGGTCATTACTCTCTTATTATGGTTAATAGTCATATAAACATTGTTATTAAAATATCACATAAGTTGCTTTCTGATAAATTTAGACGCGTTATGCGAAATAAAATGTTTTGCAAACGCTCCAATCACTTATCGACATGTAAACGCACTAAACCGATTTCGCAGCGTTGACACATTGTCACCTTGAAACTTATTTAAACTGGGAACTGACATTTGTATTAATTTTGACACTGAATCAATTTGTGGCATTTCAAATCTTTATAAATCCTTTGGCCCGCATACTGTAAATCAACAACTGTTTGTTTCAAAACAAAATTATTCATTTTACGAGTAGATAAAGGCAATTTTGGTATATAAAGATGCCCAAACAGTTAAATAGTCGGTGTAAGGAACTCGTGGCCTCGTTAATGCACTACTTTGAGCAAGAAAGGGACAACAACGGGCCTTTGTTGCCTTTATATGCTGTTCAAGAGGTAGGTTACTAATAATTATATGTAATGTATATTAATAATAGTGAAATTTTATTTCATTTTTTGTAGCGTGTTGCTGCTGCTTTAAAAATTAGTTTAAGGACAGTTAGTCGTATTTCCGAGGGTGTGAAAAGTGATGCAAATTTAGAATCGCCCAAGAAAAAGCGGAGTTATATTAAACGTGTAACCAACACAGCGACATTGGATACAAGTGCCATTCGAGAAGTGATCTATAATATGTATCACAAAAGTAAGATCTTATTATAATAACTTATCAGAAATTTGCATTAATTGTTAACTAAATTATAATGTCATATTACACATGGTTTCAGAAGAACAAGTTACGATACAAACTTTATGGTCTCGATTAAGAGATAGGGCATTATTTGATGGTAATGCCACGTCTTTAAGGCGGTTGCTTAGAGATCTTGGATTTAAGTGGCTTAAGGACAATCCGCGACGAGGGCTCATGGAACTACCAAGTATAGCTTTGAAAAGGGTGGAATTTCTAAGGCAATACAATCAAGCCAAGGTTGAGGCCTTATACCAGTTTGTCTTCCTCGATGAAACTTGGATATTTCAAAATGGGACCATAGGTCGCTCTTGGCAAAATGGAAACCAAAAAAGCGTGAAAGCTATTAAAACAGATGGTAAAAGGTATGTACTTTTACACAATTTGCACTATAAATTTAAAACTAATATATTTTAGATACATTATATTACATGCTGGAAATGAAAATGGGTTTATTGAGGGTAGTGAAGCGATATTTTCTTCGAAAACAAAATTGATCGATTACCATGGAGAGATGAACCAGGACAATTTTTTGAAATGGTTTTCAACATCAGTTATTAGAAAAATTGGAGAGTCCATCTATGATTATACTGGATAACGCCCCTTATCACAGCATGATATTGAACAAAGTGCCCAACAATGCATGGACAAAAAAAAATATCCAAGGACTGGTTGACAAATCAAAACATACCATTTTTAAACACAATGTTTAAAACAGAGCTATTGAATATTGTTGCTCGGTGCATAATGCTTCTTAATTATATATATTTTGATCGACAGTTTATATTTCTTTTGTTTATTCCTATTCTTAAAATAACTGCTTTTTTAGAAACAAACCACCTAAAATATACGTGATTGATGAATTGGCGGAACAACATGGGCACAAAGTTCTTCGTCTGCCTCCTTACCATTGTATATTTAACCCTATTGAGTTAATTTGGGGCATAGCAAAAGGTTACTATAACAGACATATTGGTAGAGATGGTAACAGTGAAAAAGACTGTTTGGATATGTGGAACGAGGCTCTACAAACGGTTACCCCAGACATGTGGAAAAATAGTGTTCGACATACTGAGCAAGAAATTTTTAAATGGTATGAAAGAGAACGAATTTTGATCGACCAGACATCGAACCTTTAATAATCAACTTTGAGAGTGATGAAGATTCAGATTCAGACAGCGCTGAAGAAAGAAACTCCGACTAACTTTATTGTACAGAAAAAGCTTACACCAGTAGCTTACCTAATTTTAGAATGCATTTTTCTGTATGAATTCTGTAAAATAAATACCATGCATAAAATTTGGAGGACCCCATTTGGATTTTTATTCAGTACCTTTAAGCTATCAAATAAATATGGTAGTTTCATAGTGTCATCTGATCAATAATTGTCATGCTTAATGATTATGCAAGTACAGATCTATAATTTTATTATACTATTATTTTTGTTCTCATTTGAGGTTAATATTGCTTATAAACCTAGATATGTAAATAATAAATTTTATTATTTTACAAAAGTTTGGCAACAATGTAAATTTTTCAACACACCCACCTTGATGACGTGCCCGCCACTTTGTTTGGCGTTGACTATATTTCATGCTTTATCAAATATTGTATCGCTTGTATCTCGAAAACTGTCAACTTTAGAAAACGTTCTAAACTACCTTTTTTGTAATGTCAAAAAAAACCTAAAATCACTTTGACAGGAGAAAAAAAAAATCAAATTTTAGAATGTTTCCAAAAAATTGTTCAAAATTTTGTTGACACTCATTTGGTTCTGGCAACTTGCAGATTCGTTAAAGGTAGGGCTGTTTTTAAATAATATTATGTACACCTTCACCGGCGAAGAAATGAGAAATTCTTACCTGTTCATGGGGTTGTCTATTGGTGCACAACAACCACGAAAACTCGTCTCGATCTTTCCCTGGTTCTCCCCAAACTTTGATGGTACCTTTCTTCCTACTTTTATAACAGTCAATGCACACAACGAAACCACATTTGCCGCACGCCCAGTGAAAATTGAACAAAGTCGTTTCGCACACGTCACACATCTCTCTCACACCTTGTACCACACGTTTCCATGCTACTGTTTTATCTGAAAAAAATGCACAAATTTAATTACTTTACATATTTTATAAACAAACTGTTGTTATATCGCCAGCACTGCCTCACTGCTCAACACTGCTATGTTAGAAACTGTTTTTCTTTTTTTGTTTTTATTTGAACCGACATAGATATTGTACAATAGATCTTCAAGATTACCTTCAGACATATGTTCGGCATTGGCTTCTTTTTCTTGCACTAACAGATCACAAAAATGATCACCAACTTGTTTAAGTAGAAATCTGGATGTTTCTAGGTCCAAATCAGTTGGCGGATTTTCCTTATTGGGCAGCCACAACTTCAAGTCATCCTGATGAAAGTAGAAAAAATACATTTATACATACGCACAAAAACATTCAGCTGAACAAATATTTAAAAAAAAAATAATTTTTGTAATAATAACAGACTTGAATTAGATGTCTTTAAAGCAAAGCAATTATGTCAGCGAGGATATGCAAGGCAAAGTGACAGACATTGTGTTTAAAATGTAGTTCTTGTTCCCATGCATTTAAAGTTAAGATAACGGAATGTTTCAAGCTCATATTAAAGACGAATTTTATAAAAGCAATGTATATTCCTCAATTTTGATGTCATATCATCATCTTACCTCCATGGCATCCTTATGCGGATCAGAGAACCCGGCTATTGCCAGCTGTCCGTTCTTAGTATACCTCAACCTCCTGAAGGCGTAGAACCGACAGAAGATGTTCGGCATGTTCTTCGAGCGTTGGTTTGGCGTCCACCGGCATTCTCGGCATTTTGCCAATTTAGGAGCCACTTCGAAACAGGGACCGTCCTGCAAGAAGGTCTCGCCGGTCTTTTTCAGTTGCCCCACGGGGGGTTTGCGAAAGGGGTCACGAGGGGGCTGCTGCGGCGGTTGAGATGGCGGCGTGTTGTCGTCCTTGCTCTTCTTTGGTCGTGGCTCCTCGCCTCTATCGTTTTTTGAACTCTGTAACAACAGAAAACTGGTAACCACTAAAACTTACACCAACAATACGAAGTCGGAGGCTAGTTATTGAAAACGAGGGAGTAGAATTCCCTCATAGAATCAAATTACCAAGACTTTTTCTAGCAACTTTCGACGTTTATTAAATAAGTTTGTGGACACATTCATTTCCGGTAAAACAGTTAAAGCTACCAAGTTTTTCGTATCATTGAAAGGCTCAAAATAATATTAACTTTGTCTTTAGAGATGCAACTAATGGAGGACGGAGAGACTCCTGCACTTTTTCCCGCTATCTATTAAGAGAATGCCCAGGGGGACTTTTCAACCAAGGAAATATTAAAGGATATAATTCATCGATGAGAAGTAGAAACGCACTTTCTATTAGTTATTTTACTCTTTTGTTTTAAACTGAACTACAGAAAAACCGCCTTGTACTGAATAAAAGTTGTACATATTTGTATCCTCTAGATTATTTTCCGCGAGATTATTCCAAGTCAACAGATTACGTATATACACTTTCCGAATATTTTTAAGTATCAAAATACAATATTTTTAGAGCAGACCAGAAATCGGAAAAAAATATCCATCAAACGGGTAAAGATATCGACTCAAAATCCTGAATATATTGTACACACTGCAGACAAGTGCATACAAACATTTTGTTTGCATCTTGAACTACCCAGTAGAGTAGATAATGAGATACTTTGTCAGAAGAATGAGAAAAATGTTTACGCCCTCGATTTTTTTTTTGAGGGACCTTGCTTTTTTGAATTAGGTATTTAATTTTACTGGTACTGTCTGTCACGAAATTCTGAAAAACAGAATATCAATGCAGAGGCATTTACAACACCTTGTGCCTCGATAATTTTAGGTCCATACAGGATTTTTTCTTATTTTTGGATATGTTTTCAGCTCTACAATTAAGGCCTCCTGTTTTCTAATCATCCTGTATAAACAACAAATCTATTTACCTTGGGTCGTCTACCTCGTTTCCTTGGCTCCTTTCCAGCATTTCCAGACTTTTTGCTGGGCGCCGAGGCACTGGCACCTGAATCGCTGTCTTTTTCACTGCCACTCTCTTTTTCGCTATCACTACCGCTTTCGCTAGCCATTGCTGGAGTTTGGCTACCTGAAAACCCAATAAAAACTCTTTACTAACTGATCAAAGGAATGAGTGTCAATATGCAGATATTTTCGCATCGTAACGATAGTATGCTTGTTTCGGTGGTGAATTTTGACAGAACTAAAACGGTTGGAAACAGTTGACCAATTTTGTTTGATGCATAGAATTTTGACAACTCGTTTTGTCCAATAAGCAAATTCTTTTGACGGTGATTCTAGTTCAAAGTTGACCAGTTTATATTCTATTCATAACAAAGGTCAGGACCTAGTTCTGAATTTTTAGAACTACCCAGGGAGGCATTTTAGATGTGTGATATACAAAATAGCGTACTTTTAACGTAACAGCAATGGTAAAAAAATGAACCAACACTCAAGAAAATTTAGAGAAGAGGTGAAATAATTCATTATGATGCTTAAAATCACTAATCTCAACCTACCTTTGCGTTTCTTGTCATCTGGTGGCTTCTTCACCGCGCCGCCGCCCTTTTTCCTCTTGACCTTGGGCGGTTTCCGTTTGGGCGGCGATTTCTGTCCCCTTTCCTGATCACTACTTGATGAATCATCATTCTTAGGGTCCCCATTTACCGTGGGCGTTTCTTTCGGCGTTTTGCGATTCGCCGTCGACTTGGATCCGAAATGCTTCGTTTTGTTTATACTGTTCACCGCCATGCTGCCCACCGAATGTATCGAATTCACGGGGTTTTCCTTAGCGACGGGGGTAGTTGAAGGGGCGGGAGGGGTACTAGCAGGTAGGGGCGGCGTTTTTATGTTTAGGGGTAACGTCACGCAGCTGCCCGAGCCTACCACTCCTGTCGTGTCCTCCATGTCTAGAAATTGAACACGCATATTTGAAAAATGCTCTAGCAGCATTCACTTTCAATATCACTTAAAAGGGTGCACCCATTGGTAATTGGAAAATGGCGGTTGAAGAGGAACTTGCTTTACAAGCTGAAGACAAGGGCAAAATTTTTCGATCAAATCAGTACAGCAGAGCTAATTTGATGTTAAATCTTCTTACCTTCGCCTATATGCTTCTGCAACCACGCTTTTTTTAGATGCCTAACTGGGTAACTACTACTGGAAGTCTTTTGAGGTCCTGGACTGTTGGATTTTTCAGAGTCTACGACGCTAGGTGTGAGAGATGTAGTTTTCACGGTAGCTCCAGGGGGTTCTTCAGGAGGCGTGGGGGTAGACGCTGCACTTACTGATGTAGTAGTGGGCGCCGGACTAGAAGAAAAAAAGGGTTATTTTTCTTATTTATTCAACAGAAAAATTGGAGCGAGGGAAACAGATGGAAGATAGTATCTACCTGTTGCTGGCTGCAGGCACAGGAGGAGTAGGTGTTGCAGGTTTCGGACTGGAAACTTCTATGGAGGCAGGCCGCACAGGTTCAACCGTTACGGCTGTCACACTGACGTCCGGTAAGTTTTCTGATAACACAGTCACGCTGGCGCTCACAGGAGGTGTTCTGTATGCAGCTGTATTCACCACCTTGAAAAAAATGTTCAGATTGTAGGTGCATAATAATATAAAATTAGATCCCAAACTGCAAAGCACCACAGGCTCGGGCTGCTCTTCAAAACTCATAGCGCCTGAGATACATAGATAGCATATACACAAAATGTGTATGGTAATAAAACCATAAATAAATTCACCGTACTATTGGATCACTGGTAGTTGCGCCGACGCCTAGCAACGAATAAATAAGGACAGTACCCGTGGTTGAAATATTGTGTTCAAGTTACTTTACCGCCCTGGGAAGAAGGAGACTATAGGTTCAAAAGTGAGATTTAACGTCCGGAAAACCTACTCATAAAGTATACTTTCACTTCCCACGCCTATTGGCGAGGAAGTATTGTGATTGCGAATATTTCCGAAAAAGAAATATTAATATTAGGGGTGGAGGACTATAGACTCTACTTGACTCCATTGTTATTAGCTACTTATCACCCTAGGGCGTAAAACTTATTTTTAAAGTTCGCCGCCCAGTCGCAGATAAAGAAAATTAGTATAGATTGAACATACGTGCTTTTTATCTATCCAACATTTTATCATTGATCCACAAAAATATCCAATAACTGCTTCAAAAAATCAAACATTGCTACTGTAACAGAAGCTTTCGATGTTTGGATACGTTCCAAACTTACAATGAACGACCTGTCGTTTACAACATACAAAACAATCTTTTGGAACGCTATTACCTGAACAATAATGAAAATATTTCTGTAAAACTGGAGTCGCAAACACTTTCAACTTTGCACTACTACAATAATATATCACGAATTCAGCGGAAACAATGCACTAAAAATGCATGCTAACAGTTATCTTTTCAGGGCTCAACTGAAAACAGCATAATGTGGTTCTTTGTAACCAGTCCAGATGTGGTTGGGTCAGTCCAAGAATAAGGAGGAGAAACATACAATTTGCAGGTAGAGTGAAAGAGAAGGCGATACAAAAGAGTCCCCTTCCTAAATGTTCGCAAATACCTGACCCCACTGGTATCATTTTTCGCTGTAACCTTGACCATGGGCGTAGAATCATCCATTGTTCAAGGTTGAATTCTGTATCAATTTTAAAAAATGCATCTTGTGAATGTATGTTATTTTTTTTTTTGGAAGATCTATATAAATACACTCGTGTTAATGCATATTTTATAGTGGGGAACAGAATTTATCGTGAATATCGTCTTTTGAGTTGCATAATTAGAAAAGAAGCGATGTATTCCCTATCTATTTATATTCAATAGCTGAAATATATTGTTTACGTTTATTTTCCACAGATGAGGCTGTTGGAAAGTTATCAAATATTTTGTGAGAAATCGTCAACATAAGATCATAAATGTTATTTATATGCAACGCATCTGACATCTCCATGGAGAAGTAGGCTCACATTCTAAGCACATGACACGAAAAATCTACGTCAAGCTCGAAACTTTTGTTTGTACTTGCTGTCTCTCGATCATATAAAAAATAAAACACGCGGAGAATATACTTTTTGGAGAAAGAATACCGATATTCCATCTATTTTCTTTTAAATGTGCAAAATTGCCGCCCTTGAGAGTATAATGAAAAGTCCAATCGAAATCAAGTTCATAGTAGCTGTGATTCTTTTAGCTGCACATGGTCAAAGGTAACAAAATATTTTCAATATTGCGAAATCGATTCTTGCCACAGTTTCATATACATTCAATATCAAAGCGCAAAACGGCATCTATAAGAATTTCATGAACAAAACTCATTTAGTGCCGGACGTCAAACTCAAAAACAAAGGACTGTGGTGTTTTTCGCCGCAAATTATGAATCATTTACCAAGGAAATTCAATATCGCAAAACAAAACAACATTCGTCGCGGCTATATTCTCCTGATTTCGTAGAAATCTTACTTCGTCAAAACATGTTCCTTAGCAGCATATGAATCGTCTTCTCAGCAATTTTAATATTAAAAATCATCGCATACGGACAAAGCTAGCAATACACTGAATCTCCATAAAACACCTCAATCTTCAATCGCAAAATATGGTCTTTATATGTAGACATCCATGAAAAAAGACTAAACACTCGATTTCTGTTATTTTGATAGGAGCTCTCTGTAGCTATGGCTCTATAAACAAAGCCGAAATATAGTCATTTTAACCGAATACCCGCAACATCGACAAAACCCTAATTCGCCGACATTTTGAACTGTCAATCTTTGAACTCAATACTCACGCGATGCTTGAACTGGACAAATTTATGGTCCTTCTAGCCGCGAAATCGATAAACAGTCGCTAACAATTGTTTTAAACTGCACCCACCGTAGTATCTTTGGAAATTAAGTCAAAAACACTGTTATTTCACCGTACATGGTCCATCTGGCCGGATATCGACATAACACACACTCCCGACATCTTGTTACACAAACTCACCGTGGTAATGGTGGTGGCCGCGCTGGCGATGAGCGGAGTGGGTTCGCAGACGCGCGCCAACTGCTGCGGGGGCTGCCCAGTCGATGGCGGCCCCGTGTAGATGCCGCCCATTGGCTGTTGTTGCTGCTGCAACTGCGGCTGTGTAGTCATGGGCGGCGTCGCAGGAGGGTCTATTCGCCGTTTCTTCACCTCCAGACAGACGGGGCTCATCGCGCTGCTCACCGGCGTCGTAGACTTGCGTTTCGGCGACATCGATTGATTACTGCCGCTGTCTGATTTGTTCGAACTGACGCCGAGGTCCAACGGTTGCGTCTGCACCTGGATAAATGGATGTTTACGTGTAATATGGAGTGTTGACGTGAAAACATACACAAACTATTGCACCGGGTTTATCTTGTTTACTATAGGGAGTGATATCAGAAAAAGATACCGCTTTTCAAGGTTAAATAATGGATGTTTACACCTCCAATCATACAGGTGATATACGCAAAAATATGTTATAGATTACAATACTTAACGGGTAGTCGACTAGATAGAAACAGTCAGTCGTATTTGTTTGTATTCTAATTCTCATCGTGAGGATCCAAGTGCACTTGACGTAAGCCAATTTTTTGACAGTTCTGTCATTAAATTAGTGTAATTTTTGAAAAGAGCGAGTGTTTGCAGATAATTGTGGTGTGAATTGTGATTGACCATTCAAACACTTACTTGTTAAATAATTTGCAAAGACCTGTACAAGCTTAATGAAGGTAGATGTTTCCACTGTTAAGTATTATTATTATGTTGATACAATGCTGACAGTTTGGCAGGCATTAGTAGACACATGAGTATAAAGTCTGCTCTAAAATTACGCAATTTTGGCGACAAACAATGCAATGTAAAAGTGTGCTATAAAAGTTTTCCTACATGACAACAAACGGATGGAGGAGGCTGCGTGTTTAGACATGTCCATAAGTGCATAGTAGCATCCAGCAGCACGTCTGTTGATTTAGTTGTTCATTCATATTGACAGTGTAAATTACGGACTATGGCATCGTGGTCACGTAGTGAGATACGTTATAACTTTACGCGTGGTTTAAACGTAGACCAAAGCAATGATGCTTGTATTAAAGAATGATTGTCCTCATCGTACGATTATATTCAGGTGGTACAGAGGATTCCAAAGGGGTATAATTTCACTCTGGAGGACGCTGCGAGGAACGTCAGTAACAGAGGAAAACATTACTCCTGTGAGGAAACTGCTTGACGAAGACCGGAGAGTGACATATCAAAAAAAAAATTATTCCAATTCTTTTATTACAGAAAAAAACTAAACTTGGGACGTTGTACTGTATTGTATGGTAGAAGATAATATAGGTTTTGAATTTCTGCTTCCCGAGTCTCGTCGCACTATATGCAAACATTACATAAATATGCAACGTCTCAAGTTCAGTCACATAGAACAATAGCGATATGATAATTATACATGATGTATGGACTATGGAGCCTAATACGAGCGTAATAAGATACATAAAAAGATGGGTGTAATATAAATAGATACGATACTAGGAAAATGAAATAAAAAGGACAATGTTAATGATTTTATGACACATAACAAATTAATGCCTTCCAAGAATTTCTTTGCCATCAAGTCGTTAAACTTGTGAAACAAAATATTATGCCAAACATCTTGAGTTGCTATGACGATGAGTTACATATAAAAATCTCATAAAAAAGTTAAATTTATCCAGACTACTACTGAATGAACATTTTCTTATTACCACCCAAAATTGTTTTTGTATGCACGATATGACCGGTTTTTATTTTGCGATTTTTCCAACGTTGATTTCGTGTTCAGGATATGTTTGTTGATTTTTCTCGGGACCGCTATCCAAATGAACCTCAGACAGAATGTGTAGCCTTTGTTTCAAGAGCATCAGGTGAGGATTTAGCTTTGAAGTATGATTTCTAATGTTTTGTAGTTTGACGTATTATTCTAAATAATAGTTATTTTCTGTTAAATATCTTAGGTACCCACTAATATGATAGCTACTTCTATTGCACACATTTTGATTTTTAAAACTTATTTTCAATTATTTTTATTATTTATTAATGCATGTATATATAATATGTGCAAAATGTATTAATTTGTTTTCAGTAGCAGTGTATATAAAATTTTGACACAGCACAAAAGAACACGAATTTTTCTTCCGAAACGAACCACCCACATTGGACAAAATTTTGTTATCAATAAACGACGACGACGTCTTGCCAGACTTCAAAAGATCGATGTTTTTTATTTCTCCTTGAAAGTAAAATACAAAACAAAAAATCCGTAAAATGTTCACACACAAAAATAGTTTGACTTTTTTATGTTTTTATCATTCTTTATCTATACTTTATGACTGAACTAAATTTGCAATTTTGTTAAGATGAATCACCTGAAATTCATTATTCGTATAATATGGTTCATTCATTCAACGAATTGAAAGATTTAATGTAATTTTTAGTTTTGTAGGAAGTAAGCGAAATAGCATCTTGAAAGAAATGGACGAGATAATATGTTGTGAGATGTAGATACTTAGGCGAAATCTGGAAGTATAGAGAAGAAGGCAGGAAGATAAACTACCTAGACGAGACTTGGCTCAATGCAGAGCACACTGTTAGCAAAGTATGGGTGGATTCATCAGTTGAGCATCCTCGGCAAGCCTTCCTGGAAGGTCTCTCCACGGGATTAAAACATCCTTCAGGTAAAGGAAAACGGCTAATTATCTTACACATCGGATCTGATAATGGCCTCGTGGAAGACGAACTATTGGTATTTGAATCAAAACAAGCAGGTGACTACCAGGCCGACATGAATGACAATTTAATTGAAGAATGGTTTGAAAATATTATAAGCCGTCTAGAAGAGAACACTGTCATTGTTATGGACAATGCTTCATACTATAGTAGAGGTATTGATAAAGCACCAAACAGTGGAAACAGAAAAGGGGAAATAGAATGGCTACGAAAGCATAATGTTCCCTTTGTCAGCGATATGGTCAAAGCAACTTTCAAGATCGCAGATGCACAGCAGCTTTTTTACAACGCGGTATAAAATGTAACTCCGGAGAATTGGAAAAAATCAATCGAACATGTCGAGATGGAGGAAGTATGGAAAGAGTGGTTGAACCCGTGATTATTAACTTAGGAAACAATTAAGAATCTTCAGATTATACTGATAGTGATAGCGATTAGTTAATAAATGTAATTTGTATATTTACTGGATAATGACGAAGGACCTATATCCCTAAACATACTTATATAATTACCATGTTTATTTCTACGGCCTCTATCCGGATAGACTTCAAAGTAGGTTATCCCAATCCTGTGTTAATCCTGACCGCTAATTTCGAAGGAGCCCTCTGTCCAAGATTTTGACGTTATCAGTTTTGGTTTGACTTGTGGATTGCCAAAATAAACGGTCAGAATTACACATGATTGGAATAATCCACTTTAAAGTCTATCCGGATAGAGCCGTGGAAATAAACGTGGTAATGAATGCAGGTAGATTTATTATTAGGTATTAAATTAAAAAGATCCAGAATCCAATCGAAAAAATAATTTAATTTTTGAGCCATTTTCTTTATTTTTTCCCAGGTATTAAAATTATTTTTGTAATATAAAAAACATGTAAAGTTAACGAATCATAAACTGGGGCAGCATATTTAATATATCAATGTAATAAACCTTATATCACCTTGAAAGTAACGAAAAGATAGAAGAAACAGTGAAAATAAATTAAATGGTACCTCATTTAAAACCTACACGCCACTCGCGATAACGCATTATCGGTTTTGCAGGTAGTTGTGCGGTGTAAATCGGGCTGCCCTGTCACTTGTTTTATTAATCAGTACGTTCGTTGGATAGATTTTTTATAGGATAACGATTATTTCCAAAATCAGTAAGCGTGGATCTATTAGATTCCGAAGGACTGTATCTTTCAACGTTTCCTAGCTCAATCTCCTGACAAGCATTAAAAGAAAAAGAAAAGAAGGTTCGCCGTCGTTCATCAGTGTCATCTCTAATGACGAAGTAAATTTTGTAGTGAAACATGTAATGATATGAAAAACCTAGGAACCTGTTATTTTTGCATTCACAAAAGCTGCCATACTCCAAGTACCGGGCAGTTTGTACCGGGTAGTTACATCACTAAGGATAAACTATGGACTCACGTCAAGCGGCTGATGGTGGGGCGGCAACGTCGGCGGCATCTGCGGCTGCGCGGGGGCGGCGTACTGGTGGTGCTGCTGCGGCATATGATGCGCCGGATGTCCCCTAGGTATAGCAGGCATCGGCGCGGAGGCGCCCGTGGGCGGCGACGCGGCCATCTTGGCATATCCGCCCATCGACACCGCCCCCGGCTGTTGGTGCTGGTGAGGCGACGGGGGCGGCGGATGATGCGAATGGTGGTGGTGATGCGAGTGGTGGGGATAGCGGTGGTCCAAAACCGTCGCCGATACGGCGGAGGGGATGGTTGTGGCTCGACTAGAGTGCGCTGGAGGCGGGGGCGGGCACGTCATCAGGGCGGGGGATTGCGTATGAGGCGGATGATACTGGGATACCTGCAACAAAAAGGAATGGATTTATAGTAGAGCGCCATAAGACATACGAATATCACAACCTCGGAACCCGTAAGACTGAACGGATATTCGTGAAACATTTTCGATTGCATTGTTGAAAAATTTTACTTATCAAAATTTGCCGCTCTCCATTATAATTGTGGCAACAAGAATGAAGAAAAATATTTTTTTAGCGACGATTTTAATGTTTAATATTCACAAAAAAATACAATGTGAAAAAATATAAGGCAAGTTGCCTTAAACCGTATATATAGGGTGATTGAGAAAACAGAGGCAATATTTATAGGGGCATACAGTAGGTCAAAAAATAATGCGAAATGTTCATATGAAGATTTGGCCCAAAATGCTTCCTTACAGCATGTTTTTAAATTGGAAAAACATTTTCAGTTTGTATTAAGATAATGAATAAAAATTTTGTACATGTAGCATTAACAGCATGCAAAATTATTCACTTTTCAGACTACATCAGTGGCATCGAAATTTCAGCACTACAGAAGAAACTGAAAATTATTTTCTACGCTACTGATTTTTTTGATCACAATCGGTATTTTTCAATGAATTGCTTTTTTAGCAGTTTTGTCAGAATGCTGCTATTTTTGTAGAAAAAATGATTTGAACATTCGAGATTGATTCTTATAGCAACAGACTCCGAAATTGCTAATCAACACGCAACCGGAAATTTTTGTTCGTCTTAGAGTCCCTTTACCATACCCACAAATAAACCAGCGGCGTGCTTAGTTGTTAGTTAAACTTCGAAAGCCCAGTACCAATTTGATAGCACCACCATTCCGAAATAAGCAGTATAAATTAAATAAATATCAAAAGCTCCCAAAATTAATAGGCAAACTTTTTAATAAATAGTTTTTTATTGCACTAAAAATCTCAAAAAATCCATTAACTGGAACCGGGTTCGGCGGTTTAAATATAAGTTTCCTAATTTCCTGATTAATAGGCATACATTGATAAGATTTATAATTTATAAAAAAAAAAAACTAAAAATAAACGCTTTAATAGCAAATCGAACTGAAAAGTGGAAAATGATTTTCAAGTATAGAGTTTGTGGTACTGTAATAGAAGGGCCAACAATCAATTATTAATTTGGAATAAGATCAATATAAAAATTCAATCATAGTAAAAAAGCGTGGGGTACTTGATATTAAAAACTATAATTTATTTTCTGAATTTCTAATCTCAAAACGATAAGGAAAGTACTTATAAATAAGAGCCCGATATTTGGTATATTTTTTATTTGTCAAATAACTTGCTTCTAAACCTTTTCAAATTTCGAAATTTCCAAGAGTTTTTCAAAATTTCCAAATCTTTCATTATTTCTGAATTTTTCGATAATTTTCAAAATTTTCAAATTCGTTTTTTTCCAAAATTATTGTTTGTCATCGGCTCTTGACCCCTGTGCAAATGTTCATGTTAATAAGACTTCTTGAAATTTGTGAAAACTAGGTTGAAAGATTCCATTACATGCAGGTCGAGCCAATAAAAGCGTGTTAAAAAGTAAGTCGATTGCAAGGATGGAGACATCTCGTTTTTTAACACGGAGAATTCAAAAATATAAAATTTACTCTCAAATTATGGGTAAAAGCTGTCAACTAACCTGTTGGTAAGGTGATGGTGATACGGCAGCCGTCAACGTAGACGGCGGCCTAGCCGTAAGTTGAATGGGTGTAGTACCGACCGCCCCTTGCGGCGGGGACGGCGGAGGCGGTCGCGACGACACCGGTACCACCGACACGCCCGCCGACCCGCCCCCTACCGGCGGTTTACCGAATATCTGATGCGGCGCCGGACTGCTAACCTTCGGCTTGACGGAGGCGGCGCTCGAAGGAGGAGGCGGTGTCGACGCTATGGACGTTGTGTACGCGGAGGCGGGGTACGAATAGGCGCCGCCCACTTTCGCGGCGGCTGCGGCGGCCGCTGATTGGTAGAGCAACGCCTCCCGGCTGCTGCCGTACCGCAACTCAGGAGATGGGTGCGGCTGGCTGTGAGGGTGCGTCGGCTGGTGGGGGCTGTGCCGCTGCTGCTGCTGGCTCAGTTGCTGGTGATGGGCGCTGGACATCTGGCTCGAGTTGCGATGGTGGTTCTGAACCTGCAAAGATATGTTAATATCAGTCTTTGGTTTTGACACTTATTTTTTTCAAAAACCAATAGCGTACAATTTAAAGCAAAAATACTCAGTATCATGAAAACGGGGAATTTCTCAATGGAACTGCACGTACTAAATCTCTTCCCAGGCAACATGAATTACTTTTTCATGCATCCATCTTCCTCGCATACATATGCAATCGGTCTCTATACGCGAACGATTGTTTGTGTAACCTCACAGACACACGTTATTTAGTTTTGTCTCATCGCCTCTAACATTTTTTTGTCAAAGTAAGAATCATCGATATTTATGTATATCACTGTTAGTATGAATACTTGCTTGCCATGGACGATTTGAGTTTACCTTTGTTGATCTTCGATATAGAACATAGCAATGACGTAAAAAAACTACAATGTTGGCAATTTATAAGAAGTATTTTGAGAAAATAAATGAAAATTCATGTGTGTGTGTGCAAGAGCGAGTAGCAACTGCGTTAAGGATGGGCTTACGTTGTGTCTACATTTGTATGACATTGGACACACCACCAAAAAAACGCGAATAGAACTATAGTTTTGGATGATTTTCAAATTCTCCCCAAAATCAGTGCCCTGTATGACATGTGTATAAAAGTGGTATTAATTCTAACATGTTTTGAATACATGAGCTCCTTTGTAATTAGTTAGCAAAAATATACATTTTTTTGCCCTTAAACCTTGAATATAATTATGACTTACCTTGCCCAAGTTCTGCGCTTCAAGATGATGGTGGGGACTGGGGGCGTGTCCCAAATGGTGGTGTGGCGACTGCGTTGGGCTCCTGTACTCGTAGGGCGAATCCTTCTCCCTACCTTGGGGGACGTAGTGAGAGCTCAACAGTTTGGGACTTGGAGAATGAGCCAACGGTGCTCGCGCATCCATATGGTGCGCTGGAGATTGCGGATGAGACTTCGTGTCGTGTTTCACTGGAAACAGAAAAAAAACTTTCAATACGTGCATCTGCGTCAATAAGCCCTATATCGTCTATTCCGAATCTTCTTCATAATAACAAACGGGTATTCCATGTCACAAATTAGTAGTTGCATTTTTAAACAAACGTTGCCAAATCTACGAATCAACACTCCTATTGAGTAGTGAATCAATATAGAATCACTTAAAAATATATAAAATAATATTTTAGAAGAGCTTGAAGACATTTTTCAATAAAATTGTCATTCAGGGAACAACATTCTGACAAACATTGTTTGATGCATAACTTCAATTTTAACGCACATAGTTGAGTTTGAAAGTCGTGCGTTCTGGAATTCCCGATTGACATCTCTAGCCTCTACTCTAACTATTGACGATAGCACACATTGGCCCATTATGTTTATATCATGTACACTTACCTATAACAGAGTTCTTCATCTCGCCGTCCCTATCCATAAGGGGCCCAGTCTTGGTAACGACCAACCCTGATGCGGTGGTCTTGCTCTTTGGCTCATAGAATGCCGTTTGCGAATGGCCAACGGCCGCCGCGGCGGCAGCAGCCGCAGCGGCAGCCGCAGAGTAGCCGTACACGCTGAGGTCTCCGGATTTAGCCAACGCCTGTTGATGGAGCGGGAGTTTATCCACGCCCACCGAGCTGGCGCCGCCCACCGGCTTAGTGGCGGGGTGGCGACTGTGCGCCGGGGGCGGGTATTCGGATTGCCCGGGCGGTTTCACGGGGACGCTAGACGGCCGCTGCTGGACCTGCAACATCGATTACAAAGTTTAGCTTTTGGGCATTGCAAACCCATAGAGATTAGTTACGTTCAACCTGAAGATAGAAAACTGTATACTGTATGCCGGGGTCAAAAAGGGTATTTTAAAGAAACAAAAGACAGTAGCAGAACACAAAAATTAATTTTGAAATCTACTTTGAAAAGAGTTAGTGTTTGGTTCTGATATTGTCTCATAGATGCCGCTAGGATCTCATTTTGGCGCCTTGCTAATGCCTATTTTAATGGGGTATCTTCAGACAATGATTAACGAATTCCAGTTGAAAACGCCGATTAAAATAGGCAATAGGGAGAGCGGATGGGGCAGTGGCAGAACCAAATACTCTAATTCGTCTCAGAATAGATTTCTTAATTTACTTTTGGGTCTCATAGATGGCGCTAATACGCCTTGTAGGAAACAAAAACAGAATTTGTTCCTCCCACTCCCGGCTGCCTCAAAATATATAAAGTGAAGTCTATATTTTGGTCTCTTCGAAACAGGGTCAGAAAAGATAGTGCAATCTCTAGAGCAGAGTCGCAATCTCAAGGTGGTATACTATTGAGAAAATGAACAAATATGGCAAATTATACAACGAATTGCAATCTGAAACTATACTTACAGAACTATAATAAGATCTATGATCCCTGGCATCTCCCCTCATGGATAGATGCCTTTGTTGTTCCCTTTGGTGCATTTCTTCGGCTCTCTTTCGATCATCCTCAGATAGACTAGAAGTTCTTGGTTGGGGCACCCGCCCCGTTATAGGATTCCACTGCTCCCTCTGAAAGAAAAAAAGAATATTTAGTCAAAACTCTCTCTACGAATGAAGAACGATATTCTTATATTTGTTTCTCAGAATGGTTTTGACATCATTTTGCTTCAAGAGTAGCAAATACATAGGAAACATCATTGAAAAAAAAATCGAAACATTTGCAATTGAAGTGGCAAACTAATCAGTCTAAAAAATATTTACAAATATAAAGTACGATGAAATATATTTGTGGTGGTTCATTTAAAATTAATTTTGGACAAACTTACCTTTAGCTGCGCACCCCGTAATGATTTTTCAAAATGGTTGTGCAATGCCTGTTTTTGCCTTTCTTTCTCTAACTGTTCTCTTTCTTTCTCTTGCCGTTCCTTTTCCATTTTTTCTCTTTCTTGCCTATCACGTTCTAACCTCTCCTTTTCTTTTTGCTGCTTCTCGACCAACTCCTGATTTTGCCTTTGAGTTTCCCTGAAAAAAAAAGGCTCGATTTAAATTTCTGCTAATAGTAAAGAGGCAAAAATATAATTTTTCATACGAAATCTTTTAAAGAACAGCGTTGAAAAAAAAAACATTGTCCTTTTTTCCAAAATGTATAGCGAATCAAAATGATTGCCAAAAATTCCTCATTTTTCAAACTGATTTATACCGGGTATTAAAGAATGCTGTTAGGGAAACTTAACAGCAGATTCGGCACCTATAAATAAAAATAATCATCAAACTTTATATAATTTTACGCTACGGTTTTGTAAAATTAAATGTTATCTTAAAGCCATATCGATTCCGCGTGAACGATTTCTTGCAGATTTTTTTAAATTACTACTTTTAACAATGAAAAATACACTGGTGTACTTATTAGTTACTAAAATAGGTTTTATTTTGTAAATAAAAAACTCCAAAAGGCGATTTTAAGTGGAATCAATCTGGTTTTAAGATGTTGATTCTTATTTCAGCAAAAACTAGTGGTGTATTATTTTCACGCTGAACATAAGAGACTCGCCGGCACAAATGCTGCAGAAAATAATGTTCTAGATGTTGTGAGCTTTGATAATTCATTTGAACTATGACTATGAAATGACAATCTGAATCTGCCCTTCGATGTTCCTGGTAACATTCTGTAACACCCCATAAAGAAGTCACGAATCTTCTGATTTTCTTTTTGCCTTTGGGTGAAACATGTTTAAATAGAATTTATGACATACAAAACACACTTGATCAAAAAATAATTTGAGATGAAATTTTTCTATCATCCCTAAGTGACTCTCCTTTCAAGCTTACCTAAATATCCTCTCCTGCCTCTCCCTATCCTGCATATGCATCGCTCTCTCCGCCAGCAGCTCCTCAGCCGCCTGGGCGGCAGCAGCTGCCGCTCCGCTTTGCTGGGCGGCGCTAAGCAGATGGGCGGGCACTCCGTACGGCGTGGGCGGTCCTCCGCGACCCGTAGGCCCCGCCCCGGCGCTCCCCTTCCACAGCATTTCCGTGAACTGAGAGGGGTGGTACAGGCCGGCGTGCGGCGGCAAATGCGGGTGGTGACTCAGCGGATGGTGGGCGGAGATCAGAGACGGGGGCGGCGGAGGTGGTACCACCGTTTGGTAGGCGCTCGCGCTAGGGGGCGGTTGAGGTGTGCTGCTGCTACTGCCTGTTGAAGCGCCGCCACCGCCTGGGTTGCCGCTCGCGCTGCCCGGACTCGATGTGCTGCCCGAATGGGACATCAGCAACGTCTGCAAGAAAATGGGAACTCTTGAAGCTAGCCATAGGAAACAGAAAAAAATATGACGTTTTGTTAAACTAAACATGATGCTTTCGTCCGTCCGAAAAAGAGTCAGACAACCATCGACAGCTGTTTCATGCTCATCAGCATTGCCTAGGCTTGATGCCTCGACTCTGGATAACGAAAGAAAGCATATTAATTATCCTCTATCCAGGAGGTATGGTCTATCGAAATAAGACAGCGCAAAGCGCCATCTATCACACAAGAATCAACCACTGCGGAGAGCGCATAGCATGCTATTAGTTGGAACTGAATGAATTTCAGTTCACGTGACTGCTAGATGGCTGACGATTCTGGCTGTAAAGTACATGTGGGGTCTACCTGCCATTGAATAAACTAAGCAGTTTAGTGGCACCTAAAAGCAGCTATGCGCTCTCCGAAGTGGTCGATTCTGGTGTCATAGATGGCGCTTTGTACTGACTTATTTCGAAATGCCCTTTCGTTCCCAAAAATGTAACAAGTAGATTTTCGATTTAAATTATAGATCACCCCTCACAACAATAAGTATAATAATAAGTAATACATAAGAATAGTATTCAGCAATGGTGTTTGCTATGTTGTCTCTCTATATAGGTTGTTAATGATACGCGTAATTACAAGTGAACAGTATTGAACCAAATTCAAGTAGAAAAGTTCATATAAACATACATGTGTTCTAAAAATTCCGGTTTCCAATAGAGAGAGAGTGTTGAAGTTTGACAAAAACCTAAATTACTGAAAAATGACAGCACTATCATGGTTAGTCAAAGAATATGTTCATAAAAACGACATTCCTAGCAATTATCAAAGTTGATTTGGTTTGAATTAACAATTTTTCGACATGTAATGAAGTTTTTTTTGAAATTACGAAGATCCGAAGAGATATAAAAGTTGAGTATTAGCTGATAAATCCGAAAAAATATACATATATTTTAAAACGTCAGTGGCGTCAATTTTTTATCAATAGTATTCGTAAAACGGCAATGCATAAAAAGTTTATAATACTTAGCTTCTAGTTAGTGCTAACTTAGCATCAACATCACTGACTAAAAGTCATTTTTTAAAAACTTTGACACCCTGTATCCTGAAAACCAGACTTTTTTAGTTTGTATCAACTTTTCTACATAAATCTGGTTCATAACTGTGACCTTGTAATTACGGCTCCCTATGGTGGCAAACTTGTTATTTTTTCGATTTTCTGCAAACGTCAACGTTGCATAGTCGACTGTAGGCAATATACCTGTATTTAAAAAAAATGTATCCTTGAAAAGAGGTCTAATATAGTCAAAAATGTTTACACTCAATTATCGCAGTTGGCGCGTCAACGTGTTCAATATTATCCTGTATAAAATTCCATTCTACATAAATTATCTAACTCCATAGTTTAACAGTACTTGTCCAATTAATCTGTTGCGTAATGAATCAGCATGAATTCAACGAATGTTTCTAAAATTAGATTCCTATTTAGTTCTGCTTGTTTATCCACGTCATTTCCCCCGGCGCTCATTTTTAATTCATCTGCACGGACACAGGCTTAATTACAGTCATCATATTCACAATTCTATTTGTTCGTTTTTTTTTATATAACTGACCTTCGTGATACGATATGCATTTGACACAGAAATTGTTGTGCAACCTTGCTGCCTTTAAATAGGTATTGATTTGTTATGAAACCCGCTAAGCTGAATATAGATAGCCACTAAACATTGCAGTGTTCATGCACAAGGTAAATAAATTGACGATTCCCTACTTCTCTGGTTCAATGCTGGCCAAAACATGTCTGTTTTTAAATATCCCATTCTACGTCAAACATTCTTGAAAATACATAATCTTCAGGTTCAAAAAGATATAAATGCATAATCTCACTTTTGCATGAACATTACATTGATCTGAGAGTAGCAACAAAAACAAAAAATACAATTTATATTCTTTAAATATAAAACAGTGATATAAGAATGTCAAATATGTAGTATTAACAAGGCATCGGAGTCATTTTATAAGAGGCAATTTAACTTCTGTTACTCGCTTGTGTAATTTCATGATTGTGTTTAGTTATCTGCATACTTATCTTTAACTGATCTCTCATAATTCAAGGCTAACTTCTTATATAATGAGTGGATTCTTATTAAGAATAAAAAGCTCATGTAACCAATAACGTTACTATTAAGCAAATAAAATGATCAGCTGTTGAAAACATTTAATTGGAGAACTGATTGAAATATGTAGCGGGCATTGAGAAATCTAACAATCAAATATCACGCATAAGGCCAGTGGCTCAGTCAGATAACTGATCAGCAGATCTAAAGATAAAATAATTATAAATCTGCCGCTAATAACAGTTGTTCGTCAAGTATCATGAATCAGACTATAAAAGTAGATAGCTTCTCAATGGCCCGACCTAAAGAGCTTTTCGAATCCCTTAAGGGTGCTGAAAGTAACAAAATGCAAACAATCATCTCCTATTTAAAAATATGTTGGTACTTTCAGCAAAATAAATCGAACTAAACCAAAACCTAATCCGGTCCTGCACCTCGATCGTATCAAACGTGAACATGTACGATGCACATCAGTACTCAATCCAGGCGCTGGCCGCGTTAGTAAACAAAACCTTTACACATCGGTCCTAAAAAACAAATAACAAGGCACACTCAAAGGAATATCCGAGTTTTCCATATTATGAACGTCTTCGAAATGCTACCGAGGTTTCGCGAGTGCATGCAGATCGTTTTTTCAAGATCCTTCTTGATTCTTCTTTGGGCGAAACGAAATGTTTAGTGCATAAAACTGAGGTGAAAACGGAATTGCATAAAAATTTAAAAGTAGGCATCAGAGCGATAAATATTCCTATTTTTACGTCGGTGTATTCCGTGGAACCCTCTTGGCAAATAACGATATTAATATTGGCTCGATATAGGTCACACACACATCGTCGCATCGTTTTATGAATGTTGGCAGTCGGCCATGCATTTTGACGATGAATTTAGCTTCTATTTTTAGATTTCGTGTTATTGCGGCAATGATTGCATTTCGATTTTTCGCGATACGCCAAGCTGGCTAGCCAGCCGATTATTTAACGCTAGACCTGGATTATTTTTGTGTTACCGGTGATGGATTCGCGTGTTTACCGCTATCGATGTATCGCAATCATTCCAACTTCAACTGCAGGGTGTATATAACATTTTAAGTGCCATACTTTTAGCAACGAAAACACTGATATGGTAAAAAACGTCGAATTCCGAGATAGGGAAGCCCAAGATACAAAATGAGTTATTCGAGCGTTGTAAGAACCTTTGGGTTTTGAACATTAACATAGATCACAGAAAGAAAAAAAGGTTATATGATGTGGTGGTGGTTTTAACGTTACATAGACTTATTCAAGTTCGTCAAATATTAATATTGTTTATATGATATGATATAGTAGATATGGTCTAGATACTAGTTTCATGAAACTTTTGTTAGAACCATTTAAAAACGTGTAGTTTTCGAGTATTTGGGGTGTTCGGATATTTAAAATAGCTCAATATTACAATCGTTTTAATCTCCTCACCTAAACATTTCTTAAACTTTACATTCTTCGTTTCGATGGGGCAAAGTGATGGTGACTTTGAATACGACATTCAAGGTAATTCTGAGGTTAAGTTCAAACGGAACCCTCCCCCTTTTTCACATCGGAATTGAAAAGTGGCATCTGTGGCAGCTAGATGCCGCTGATTCTGGGGCTACAGAAGATATGGTCTACCCGTCATTGAACAAACTCACCTTTGGGTGACAGCCACAAACCTCACAAATGTGTTCTCAAACAACAAATTAACACTAGTACGCAACTCAAAAATCCACCTCACTCACCATTTAAATACCTTGACTCGACAGAGCATCCAAAATAAGTATACGGTAAATTGGAAAAACTATCTCTTTAATTACATACACCTTGGATCAGCAATTTGCTACATTTCCAATTTCTTTCTCGGGACAGGCTTTTATCACAATAATCAGAATCTTCAATGTAGGTCTTATTTCAATCCAGACCAAGACACAACTGATGCTCAGGTAAAATCCCGTTAAGGTGGGCATTTTTTTATCACAAGACTTTTAAGATAATATATACTCCCTCTAATCTACATAAAACCCTTATTAGCATTTTCAGGTAGGGAATTAAGGTCGTCAAATGTCATTCAACTGTGCAAGGATAGACCCCTCCATAAATGAGATTTGGGTGTAAATCAATATATTTCCAAGGGTCGTCTCGATCAACCCTCTGATTTGGGATAGTTCATTGTGGATTTTAAAGGAGATGTACCCAAGGGAGTGTGCGATTGAGATAACACATTTTCCGACAAGTCTTGACTATTTTGATACTAATTTTTACCTGTGTATGGAATTTTGTAGGGATTTGTGAGAAATGTATGAAAGGAAATGTTAATAATCCGCATTTGTTGGTTATATGATCCAGATTTAGATAAATAATTTACAATAAAAACGTCATGTTACATATATTTCTCTTGGATTTTTACATAACAGGCCTACCCCAAAAGAAACAACCACTTATAGAGAGATTCGGTATTTCATTCCTAAAAATATAGATTGTCACCCTAGTTTCAACAATTTTATAATATGAAATCTGACGTTATTTTCCTATTGACTTGAAGTATCATCAAAATAGATGTCGTGTAATCAGCCTTTATATGAGCTGCCAATTTCAGGCGCTAAATAATGTCGTTAAAACATCTCGTCTATTTCAACACATAACTAGTTATGACTAAAAATGTAACGAGGTGAAACAGAACTGATCATTAGGCAATTCAACCACGTAAAAACGTGTGTAAAATACTTAAATAACGGAATACAAATATACCAATATAGGTATGTAGACGTCAGCACTTACTTCAGTGACCTTAAAAAAGTAGGCGGACTAGTATTTCATCCTGTTAATAACAACACATTCATTCTTACTGACATTTCAGTCAGTTTATTTTTTATTTATTAGTAGACATTTTAAAAATAGTTCAAACAGTATCTAGCACTAAAACCGAAAACTAAATAAGAATGTTTCAACTGTACAATGATGTTTGTTTTCGTACTGATATTCTTGTCACTGTCAGCAAAAAATAACAAAACAAGTTTTTATCGCTGTTGCTGTGGATACGGCAGAGAATTACAATTATTTGTAGAGATACGCATGTTAGTGGGTTTGTGTTCAAGTAATTATTAAATGCACCACTATTTTGTAGTAGGTAAAGGTCTTGACTTTATATTCTAGGGTTGTAAAGTACTCGTCAGGAGCTTCAAAATGATGTGCCACAAGACCCCCGCTTTCATATAATTGTTTTTCCAAGATGGAGCACAGCGGCCATCTTGACATTTTCATCTGTCAATTTTACTCTAAAATATGGTATTCAGGCATCAATTTCATTGCCTCTAAGTTTTAATTTTTGAATTAATCCGTTCAAAAAATCAAACGGGAGGGGGACATTAACGAAAAACACTCTATAATAAGTGGAAGTATTTTGCATGAAGATGGCCTTTGCCACCCATTGTGTCAAAGCTGACACATCCTGACCAAAGAGTAGTTATACCAAAAGCAGACAGACAAGGCGAATGATAAGAGATGTAACCCAAAACATAGTTTCCACAATACAGCTGATGACATGTAAACATGTGCTGTTCTTATTTGGTCCAAGATAAATGCGATGCTGCCAGATAGATAATCCTTTTTGGATGAATTCATTGAAACTTGTAACATTCTTCGTTCAAGTTTATTTTCGTTTGGACAACATTTAGTCAAGGTGTCATCTGTTTCCAGCCTACGAGATATTTTTTTTTAATTGTGAGTTACATTTTTCGGGAGTCCTCTCCTAATCATGTATATAGTAGAAGTAGTAGTGGTGGGGAGGCGAAGCCTGGCAACCAGGCCAACTTTGACCCTTTTTGCCGACCTCTTAACCTTGTAACAAAGAGGAACGTCAGCTTGAAATACACTTTTTCAATGCAGGTGCATTTGACATTGTTATCAGTTATCTAGACAGCCTGGGCTTAAGACTTATTTCGTATACCTTTTTGATCTAACCACCAAAAACCGTGAAAAGAACTGAACTTCATTCAGCTCAGTATAAATGTATCATTTTCTAAACATTTTATGTCATATTGGCAACACCGCGTCGGTACATGTAGCCATCTATGAGCGAAACGCGCAGATCCCTGGCAGAATGTCGAGCCATCTATGAGCTACTACCAAAGAAAAGGACGATCCGCTTTAGATCGCCGTTTTTTTTTTGTAAACCAGTGACAGACCAAAAGCCAACCACAAAGTTTTGGTTTTATCGCATGCTAATATAAGTCAACAAGTAGTAAAATATGTATTTTTATGCTCAACATCAAACTCGGCATGTGTGACTATAAAATATACATGTTTTAACGACGTATGTTGAAAGTAAGCACAATGAAATACTTTAATATTTAATTTGAAGAAATAAGTGAATATCCTGAATGATAAAGGTAAGTAGTAAATGAATTTGTTGGGTTCAGAAATATGGGAAAATTTTATTCCATGTAAGGTATTCTCATAGCTTGATGAATTTTAGATCGAGGTGCAGACTTTATCCATTTCATTAACTCCTTTTCAAACTTAATGTTTGTCTCTTTGTTCAGATGGTAGAATGTTATAGGATCTTGGACATAGCGAATTGTCAGTAAATCATATCCTATTTCTAGTGCGATGCTTGTGTTCAACAATTTATTTATGTTTGTTGGTTATGCTGGTTTATTGTGTATTGTTTTTAAGATTAGTTTTTGAGCTTTCTCTAGAGCATCAATGTAAGTTTTGTCGGCATTCCACGAAGTGTCTTCTCCTGATATAACTACTCTTTGCCCTGACCCAACCTATTTCCCATAAACACATATATTTCATAATTACCTGTAGGCCTGTCGCACGTACCTGGTGCTGGACGCTGTGTATGTGCCTGACGTGCGGTTCTTCCAGCAAAAGGCTAGGATCGCGCCAGACGCGTACAGGTTCCGCAGTTGAACTCACCACTACTTGGTCCTGGTGACGCGGTGAGGCCGGTACGGTGAGACCGCCTGTTGAGGATGAGGTCACCGGCGAGGAGGATGAGGAGTGACTCACCGCCGAACCGCTGCCGGGGATGAAGAGGGGCGAACGTCGGCTGGAATGAAGAGGAAATCGTGGCGTTAGTCAAAATATCATTGTGTCCTACAGAATAAGTTGTATTTGTAGTAAGCGCCTCAGTTACTGTTTTTCAATCAAATACATCAGTTAATACATGCATTTTGACATCATAGGCAGTCAACATGACGGAAATTATACGTCAAAAATTTACAACTTCCAATACAAGGTGTTCTTGAAAGTTGGGGCTCTACGAGACGTATAGATTTGTAAAAATATGCAATTTTCCTAGTAAGACATACACTTAAGTTATAAGAACCGAGATATTAGGTATTCCTACAAAAACTGCGATATTAAATGTAGGCCTGCCTCCAATAAATGAGGCACAACGACACGCGCTGCTATTCAACCCGTCGCTTCGTGTAAGTAAACAGAAATGTTTATAAATGTTTGTTTATAAATCAGATTTACAAGAACCGAGTGTCTTCCAAGATACTGCTGATGCTTCGCGAGAGTATTTTTCCTGAACGTTTACATCTTGCGTCGCATGACAGTGCAGTACTAGAAATTTCTTATCTAATGAAAACTTAAGCATTGTGGGAGTGTTGACATAACTTCACATGCTATAGGAAACTGAAGTATTACGTTATTATCGATCGAAAATCGTTCTTGGTGGTACCGGGAAACATGGCAACATTGCAAACCTGAATTTACATTTCAAATTGTTGAACATCCAACGGCGTTGGTGAAAACGGTAGCGAAATATTTCTGAATCACGATATATTATAGTCTGTCTGTCTGGTTTTGCCAGTACTATAACCCTTGACTCAACTCGCAAAGCAGTGGTGCCGAACTGGAAAAGATTAAATCGGTAGGCAGCGTCGTTGGTAGATTCAAGGACGAAATCGGTAGGAGTAAAAAATCAAGGCCGTTACAAGATCAGTGATGGATCAAGCGACTTTGTGTTACGCAGCGCCCTTTATGAAAAAAGGTATATTTCTGTATTGCGCGTGCGCGCACATACCCTTAAGTTCACAACTTGTACAATGAGCATACTGGCCGCTAGTCGAACTCCTTTGCAACCATCATTGCAATTCCTTTTGTCATTCTTGTTTATAAATATGTTTCTGTTTCAAACCTGATCAACTGACATTTTAATTTAATATTCAATCGATTTTGAGTGTAAACACGAAAAATTATTATTGTTTCGCAATTTTTAACCATCTTATTTTATTGTTCACCTAAATTTTAAACTAGGTTTAATCAAGTTTTTCTTTACCTTTTATTGCCACTTTGTGTTTTACGTTTGTCTTATTTTACGTATTGTTTGTTGTTTTTACTTACTCTTTTATGTTCTACTCTAACTGACCTGCGCAAACACAATTTGCGCAATAGTTCCAATAAATTATTGTTATTATTAAATCAAATACAGACGAGCTTTGGTTTCCTTATTGTTATATTGTGCAGTTCGGTGATGTGATAACATTGATTTATCAGTCTATACCTCGTGTACACAAAAACCAATATTATAGGGAAAGCAGAATACATACATAATTTTAGGCAACCTAAATATACGTCCTTCGTGTGCCTGGCTGCCTAAGTGTACGCTTATGTGACTGGTATGGAGCAAAAAACTACATAGACTACATAGAAGTCATTTTTTAGCTTCACCATTGGTTCCCGCTCTAATCCGGGAAAAAATCTGGAGTAATTTTAAAAAATCGTTTAAAATAAAGACTTTTCAGTATTTCGGTGAATAAGGTCTCATTTCGGTAGAAATACCGAAAAATTGGTAGGTTCGGCAACACTGTCGTCTAAGTAATGCTAGGACTTTGATAAAATTTTTATTATAAGGTTGTGCTTGTGCGTTTTGACATTCCATTCAAATTAGCGGATTCAGACCAAGTAGAAGGAGCAAGTCTAGGATTTATTGGTCTCCCAAATCTCAGTCTGTAGTAGTAGTGTTGATTCTCGTTACTTTCGAGTATTCATTACTTATCGTTACTCTTCTACAAAGTAATCATTTATTGTATTCGTTACTTTGATTACTATGAGTAGTATGAGTATATAACGATTTGGCAACGTATGTCGTGTAATTGATGTCGAATTTGAACAACTTCATTGGGACCGAGTCTTGTAAGGAAATAGACAACCTTAAGATTTGCAAAATTTTTCAAGCATAGTTCGTATCTTCAAACTTTATGCAAAAATAGATGGGTTATTATAGGATAGGGTGCCATAAGACTCATATGAGCCTACAAACTAAAAATACTTTGTATGTACTAGAAATGCTTTAAAGTTAGTTAGAAAGATGATCTGTATATGGGCGTAAGGAAATTCGGAATGGGGCAAGTAACTTTTCGAAACATTTCAATTAAGCATGTACCAGTATAAAAATTCAACGTGGAACTTAATCTACACATACCATTGCTGGTCATAACACCGTCGAACTTTGCTCCATCACAATCGACTCATTCCTTTTCAGGTTGTAAATTTATTAAATTTAATTTTTTTTTAAATTAAATAATTTCAGTTGTAAATTGTAACTTTTCTTTGATTGGCGGAAAATTTGATAATTGCTTTTTAATCTGGAGTTTCCAGGTTTCCACCGGAATGTGGGATGTCTGGCAACCCTGATGTATGAGCGGCAGTACTCCTTGTGGTGCTACAGTGACGGATAGAAACCAGCGTTGCCACTCAACGATCAAGGATTGTACGCGAACCGAGTACGGATACGGAAAACAGATTAATCAAAGTAATCATTGCGTGCTAGGATTGATACTCGTTACTTCGGGTATCTTTAAGTAACGAGTACTCGAGTAACGAATTGTTACTTTTTCAGTAGGGATAAAAGTGCACAACTCAAGTAATGGACTTGAAATAAGTTAGTCCTTTGTCAAGCCTGTCATTAAATCGCATCTTTAGTGCTATTTTTGAAAGTGCAAGTGTTGCGGAAAATTGTGGTGTTAAACGATTCGGGACATGATACTTCTTTTCCACGGGTACATAAATATTATTATAATGATACAACGTTGCCACTTTGGTTGCCATTTGTGATCAAATAATGAGCTAAAGGAAGCACTAAAACTACGCAATTTTGGCGACAAACAATGCAATGTGAACATATATACGCTCCTTCTAATCTATTCGAATTCGTTGATTCAAATAGATGTTTCCGAAAAAGTAAAAGCTAAACCGTTTACTTTTTTGTATGTACTCGTATAATTTCTCACCTATTCTGCGACGCAGAAATGGACCCGCTACTTGAGGACGATGACGATCCTGACGAGGGGGGTCCTCCTTGGCCTTGACTACAGCCGGTGGGCGGACCAGATGGCGCTGTGGTCGGCTCTAGATCGGACGTGCTGAGCGCGCTCGACCTGGAGCCCGATCGCTCATCGCCGGAACTCCCGGAACGCAGAGAACTCACGCCAGAGTCGCTGCTGCAACGGTCGTCTACGATACCTACTGCTGAAACAAACGACAATGTTATCATATCAAGTTTTTCTGAAAACATAGGGGTCACAAAAACTAAAAACCACTAACAATTACTTGCCATGCTCCAATTGGATATAAAACAGTGTTGCAAAAAACGTCCATGATTTTTTTTCAATAAAAAGACAAAAACGATTTGTTTACAGATGTTTAAAGTAAAACAACGTTAGTCCACGAGTGACATACGGATGATGTTCCTTTGTTTACAATTTGTATGAAGTCTCATCATGGCCGATGACCTTTTAATATTAAAATTTTAAATATGTTTATTTACATTGGACTTATACTGGGTGCGCCATCTATTACTTTTTTTACCTATAAGTTTTTGTGTTACCATGTGAGTCATAAGTCATGTCGTATGAATAAATGAACTGTCAAAGGTATGTCATTTATAGTCATGGATTCGTTTACAACACAACAACGCATTTTGTTTATTCAGAAATATAAAAAATACTTTTCGCAAACTTCGCACTAGTTTTGGCCGACTTGGCGCCCTACAGAGCATGGAATTCGTTGGATTGTAAATCGTTTTGAAGAAACTGGTTCAGCTGAAGGTCGTAGACCATACTAACATGCTCGTCCAGCTCGTACTCGTGAAAACATAGCCGCAGTGAGTGAAAGTGTGCGAGAAGATCCAACCACCTCGACTAGGCACCGTTCGCAACAATTGGGAATTAGTGAGACCACTATACGCCGGATTTTACACGTTGATTTACACCTCCATCCGTACAAAATCCAACTAACACAAGAATTGAAGCCGGCAGACCATCAACAGCGGCGTGTTTTTGTTAATTGGATGCTGGAAAGAGAAGACGGATTTTCGGCCAAAGTGCTATTTTCTGATGAGGCTCATTTTCACCTCAATGGGTACGTAAATAAGCAAAATTGCAGATTCTGGGGGGCTGAAAATCCACACCAATATCATGAACAACCTCTCCATCCTGAAAAAGTGACTGTTTGGTGCGGATTATGGGCTGCTGGTGGCATCGTGGGACCGTTCTTCTTTGAAGATGCCGAAGAAAAGGCAATTACCGTCAACGGGGAACGTTATCGCGGCATGTTAACAGACTTTTTGTGGCCACAATCGGATCGTATTGGTGCCGACCATCTTTGGTTTCATCAAGACGGAGCAACGGCTTACACATCTCGCCAAACAATCGCCTTATTGCACACGAAATTTCAAGACCGCATAATTTCACGAAATTCAGATGTCAGTTGGCCCCCGAGATCGTGCGATTTAACACCTCTTGACTATTTTCTTGGGGATTTTTGGAAGGAAAAGTGTATGCGAATGGTCCCCGGACAATTCAAGACCTAAAGCTCAATATTCGGACGGAAATTGCGGCCATAGACCGGATTATTCTGGGAAAAGTCATTGAAAATTTTGATGTTCGGATGTTCGCCTGTAAACGAAGCTGCGATGGTCACATGACTGATGTTATTTTTCATACGTAAATGGCATAAACCAACCTTCATTTATCAATAAAATAAATTCGATTTCACCTCGTAAAAAGCGTGTTGATTTTTCAAATAGAAAAAGTAATAGATCCACCTTGCGCTTTTATAAATTGAAATCGATATATTTCGTTTTCCTAAGCCAAATTCAGTAAGAAATACTCATTAATTCTTATCTTTTTCAATAGCTTGGGGTGGTTGATGATCCAGCCTTGAGTGACCCCTGGGGAGAACGTAAAAGGGACTCAATGGAGCCTAAGTGCTGTGATCTTGGCTAATATATGTATATAGATGTCGTTTGTCTAGATGTCAAATTATACACCAGTGACGAGTATTTCTGGTACCCAGCTCCGTCTGTCGAATGCAATTAATGTGAAATGGCGCAGCTGAATATCTGAGCCATGCCGTACCTGAAGACGAGTGGTGTTGGGAGGCTGCGGCTGCTGCAGCGGCTGCCGCAGCTGCGGCCGCAGCTGCCGCGTGCACTGAGGAAGCGGGGTAGCGCACCAGGAGGCCACCGATTCCGTCGGCGCCGACAAGGTCCATGCCACACGTACTCGTACTGCTGACGACGACGCTCGCCGTTGCCGTTGTTGGCGCGACGCTACTGATGCTACTTGTATTGCTGGTACTACTACTGCTCGTTGTTGTATTGTTGGTACTGCTACTGATCGCACTGCTGATGACAGTTGGACTGCTTGTTGTTGTTGGACAATCTGTACTGTTGGAGGACGGCTTCGGCGAACGGGGTTCCAACGATCCCACATCGTCACCTGCAACGAAACCGGACAAACGTTGAATCATGATTGAAAATCCATGCAACGGCTACTAAAACTACGCGGTAGAAAGGCTACCGATGTCAAGCTACCAGATAGGAGTGTAATGGTTTTTTTATATAAATACAGCGGGAAATATCATCACACCAAACCCTAACTTTGACTAATAACGAGACGAGGAATGTTCAATATACAGGGTAGTTATGTCAAAAGATATCTAAAAAAGCTATTGACAATAATCATAGGCAAATATACGCCGCTTACTTGGAAAATATGCCGCTCTCTCTACAGGATTATTTATGATTGTATGGCAACATAAACATGCATTTTTTTAAACAGAATACCCTGCATATTTTAACACATTTTGAAAGGTCTTGTAAAAGGAAGACGTTCGATATTGCTGTCTACAGGGTTTGTACCGCTACTTCTGGAGTGGCGAGATATTTTGTCCGAAAAGAACACTCAACTTTGACAGGTCTGTGGCTTTCGTCAAATAAGCTTCATATCCCATAATTTCTCATCATTTAAACTGATATTTAACTTGTGTGCATTGTCTTTACAAGGTAAGCGCGAAATGTATCTACTTTTTCTCAAAAAAAAAAAAAATGGAACACCCTGTATATATTTTGCGTTTTTATAAGCTTTATCCGACATAAAATATCACCTTATTCGTGAAGAAGGATGAGTTCAAGTGGGTTGACTCCTATGCAACGCCGTCATCAGTTCATAAATTATTAAGTTCAGCGCAATTTAAATGCTTTAAAAAAGTATTGAGTTAGGGATATGTAGAACAGAGAAATTAAACGTATTGAGTCAGTCAAACAGGCCCCAATTAGTCCATAGACATGCTTTCCCTGCCCTACCGGTAGTTACCGATCATGTGGCAACGTTGTCCCTTGCAAGAGCCGTATGTTTTTTTGGACGAATACATACACACATACATATAAGTCAAACTGGTTCGCCAGGCACGAGTGCGCGGATCGAAAACATTCCTGTATAGATAGGCAAATGATCGGGTAAATCTATGATGTGTGAAATATGGCTAATAAGTGCATAGAAGTGCCGGGTTTGGGAGAATAGAAAATATACTAAGATACAAAAAAATGCATATACCCTCCTCCAATCCCAAAATATTTTCCTAGAAATGATCAGGACCATCTAAAACGTCAAATTTTATTTTTATTTTTTTCGTGTTTGGTCTTTTTTTCTGCCACCACTAGTGATTTTCACACAGCCTACAAAGCTTTTCATCGTTGGCATAGTAGCAAGCTTGTATGGAAATTTCATCAAAATCCGAGGAGTATTTCTTAAGTTATAGGCTTATTATTAGCCAATAGACCGACAGACAGACGGAAATTAGTGACATGGTTTTTCGTGATGAACATGTCATATAACATTCGAAAAACATATCTGAAATTCGAAATTTTTCGCGATTACAGTATACTACAAAAGCAAAAAGCTTCACAATTATTGCTAACAGAATATTGAAGACGCCGCATATGCTTCTACTAAATCTGATAATTGAATAGTTCAAATTCATATAACAAAACAGAAATATCAAATTCGCGCATTTCAACAGTTTTCCAAATATCCTTTAAATACAAGAAAAAAAAACATATACATATAAAAAACGACGTCACTAAAATGGAATAATTGAACGGAAAGTAATCATATCTATTACGATTAAGGCGTAAATTGGGTCAAGGTCAAACAACGACAGTCAAAATAAAGAGTAGCATTGAATGCATAAGCTACCAATTATTCTAAAAATAAAAGCATCGAAAAAACATCGCAACGAATAATTTACTACGAGGTATTTTATCCTCGATTTAATCCGTTATTATTTCATCGACTTCACAAACTCGATGTTCAACGTCGGCGCCATCGTCAGTTATCTTTACGATAATTATCTACCGGAAAAGTAATAATCCGTACAGATAATCCAAACTATCAATTTAAATAATTTCGTTTTTGTTGCTTGTCCAATTAGCTAATCAAATAGAAATTGTGGTAATATACGGAAATTGACAAATTTTTATTTCAAGCTGGATTCTTGGCAATGCGTCATTTGGAGGTCAGCATATATTCACTACATTTATAAACTATAGTTGTTTTTGAAAGTTATATTAAAAAAAAACAAATAAGACTCTGACTTTTAGTTATAAATAAGTGCAAGAGGAAATTCGTAATTTTCTTGTCGAATATTCTCTATACAGTATGAAGCTAAACGAGCAATCTTGATGCTTCCAACTGGCAATTTCTATTTTTCACAACATCCCAACACGGCAAAATGTAACAACAAATATGAGCTGATCATTAATTTAGTGACATTTAAAATAAGCCATATTGTAATTAGGACAGTTTTTGGTTAAAGTTTTAATGTCCGTCAGTCTGCCTGTCAATCTGTTTGTTGGAAAATGGAAAATGTGACCCAGTCAATCTTTATAAAAATTCATTCTAATAAATATATTTCTAGTCTTGCTGAACAAAAGTTCTCATGGGACCAAAACAATCCTATGATTAGTTTCCGAGAAATAGGGGGATAAAGTTTGCGCTTCAGCTGTTAGCAACGGTGTAAGAGTCAAGCGTCGGTCTAGCGTTAGTTGACGTAGAAAGTATCCATACAAGGAATTTACTCACGTTTCAGACCCAATAAAGTATCGACTACGGATATTTTATCAATAAATTTATGAAAGATAATGGATTGACCTTGTGATGATGCAATAGTTACTGGGCAGATGTAAATCTGGTGCCCAAACCATAGGCACATGTTTTTTTTATATACTCTCCACGGGATTTCAGTTCGTTATCCTAAAAGTTGACTCAAACCGTTTGATATGACGGAAGCAGGCCAAAACAAAAGAATCATTTATAATCAATACATTACAAACCCCTAAGCCTATGTTCACATAGTGCACTTTTTCTCTCTTTCGCCTTTAAAATCAACATGATCTTGAATTGAACCTGTAAAGGTCATAATCAAAGACAACTAAACAACCCCAAGTTTGCCCTTGATTTGACCTTGTATGGAACATGGCCAAGATCAAATGCGCCTGCAACAACTTCATAAAAGGTATTTAAATGAAATCATTTCTTTAGCATAACAATTCTCACTTACATTTAGTGTGATAACTACAGTCGTCACATTCACCATTTTTGCAAGTCAGACAACTTCCCCTATTTCTCAAAACTAATTATAGGGATTGCCCTAGTGTTATGAGAACGTTTGCGCAGTAAAGCGAGAAATCGACAAATCGACTGGGACCCATTTTCCATGTGTTCTATGATGGGTCTTATAAAGAGGGACATGAGGAGTTGTAATTAAGTACTCGTAAGCAATACAACTTATGAAAAACAGTGGCACTTTTGGAAATCTACAAAAATATTTGACTGAATGAAATCCACAAAGACTTAATCTTTGCAATGTAAGTAAAAGTAAAAAAGGCAAGCAATATATCATGCTGGATTTTTAGACAAATTGACTGCAACCCATTTTACATGTTTTGTGCCTGGTCATTTCCTAGTAAAGAGGGTATATCAACGAACCTTTGATCGAGTTGTCGTTGTCCTCGCATCCAGCACTGCTTCCAGTCAGCGTGGTGGTGACGGTAGTATCTTCCTCTTCACTTATCCTTTGTTCCACTATCGCTCTGTTATCCTCATCCGTTACAACATCACCACTATTACAACCTTCACCTTCAACAACCACCACTTCTTCACTATTAGAACCCTTATTACTACTAGTACCGGTACTACTTCCGGCGGTCACTTCCGTTGCAGGCATAGACGCGCTGCCCTGCTCATTATCGTCGCACTTCTCACCATTCTCACTATCGCTTTCTCCATCATCATCATCATTCACTACAGCATCATCACTATTTGCCACTTCCCGATTTTTATCCGTGGAGGTTGGAGGTAACTCCTCTAATTTCCGCCTGCACAGTACCGATAAGGCGGAGTTGCTTTGCAGACAATCCTCTACGCGCACCTCGATCTCCCGGAGTTTGGAGTTGTTCGCCTCTTCGAGGACTTTTTTTTTGTTCGAATGTCGATTGTTGAGGTTCTTCTTGAGAGGTTTGGTTTGCTGTTGCTTGTTTTCGAGGTCCTCTTTCGTGTCAAAACGCGGGGGTTTCGGGGGACTGATCGGAACGTTGTTTTCTGTCAAGTCACACGGTTTCCTTTTGCTGCGAGATTTTGCGTTTAATCCTGGAACAAAAAAATCTAGGTTAGAACTCAACAATTCCAACCTTATTGGGGATTTATTCTCTATCTAGACAAGATTGCAGTTGTATTGAAATAGATTTTTTATGTCTTTCTTACGTTGAAAAAAACACATTTGTACATTTAAAGTATTCCCTTCGGAACATGGTTTGATTTTTACACCGGAAGCCTGTTGCGACACAAATTAGGCGCAACATTTTTTGAATTTAGTTAGGTCAACCTCATGGACTTAAAGTTCTTTACGAAAAGCTACATTCAATAAGCAATATTTGAAAGCTTCATCATTAAAATCAAGAAATTCTCCGAGTTATACAAAAAACACTTTTTTCGATTTTAAATTACTACGATACGATTATAGACACAAGCATAAGAGATATGTGCTTACTATATGGCAACACCTGACAGAATCCAAACTGTGACCTATCGCACTTTTATAGGGTTGTACAATATTTTGTTCAATAAAAAGTCTTTTTCAATTTTTTATTAATCGATTTAAAAGTATATAGACAAATTAATATTGTGCTGTATTTCTTTTTTAACTTGTTTTATTCATACACGAACTTGTATACATAATTCCCTTCAATAAAAAAATAATTCAAAAAAACTGGAACTATGAAGGACAAAAATATAGAAAAAAGAAGCAAAGTTTATTGAATTATTGTAGCATAACCATTATTATCAATCACCGTCTGGCATCGTCTCGGCATAGATTGTAGAAGTTTCTTGATATGAGATTCATCAATCCGTCTCCACTTTTGCTCTAAAGCGGCAAAAAGTTCATCCTTGTTTGAATAATTTTTATCTCGTATTTGCTTATCTCAGTATTCCCATAGATTTTCAATGGAATTTATATCGGGAGACTGTGAAGGCCATTTGAGAACTGGTATTTTTTCATCCAGAAAGAATTTCTTTGCGAGATTCGAAGTGTGCTTCCGGGTCATTATCTTGCTGGAAGATTGATCTTAAAGGCATATTGTCTTCCATATAGGGTAACATGACATGCTTTAGTATGTCTGTGTATACAAAATTATCCATAATGCCATCTATTCTATGTACAGGTCCCATCCCAGACCCCGAAAAGCACCCCCAAACCATAACAGACCCGCCTCCATGTTCGACAGTGGGCAAACTGTACTTGGGGTTCAATCTTTGTCTCCTAGGACGTCTATCGTAATACTTGATGAACACAAACTAATCCTCTTCTGACACGAAACTGTACTAAACTAATGTTGAAAAGTATTTGTCTACATATTTTTGTCCCTCATAAAAATGTGCTTATATTCAGACTTGTATTGTGTTCATTGCAGATAATGTAAAAACCAGGAGTTTAGTTTTTTTACTAATAACGCATTTATTTATGGAGCAATGAGGTATGAATTCGTTTTCTAAAGGTATTTAGGTAAATATTCATATTTGTCTATATACTTTTGTCCATTACTGTACCTGCACCCTGTGTTGTGTTCGAGCTCAGCCGAAAAAAACTACTGCTGAGAATATCGCCAAAACATTACGAATTACGAGTATAAGTGATCGAGAAAATTATAGCGTAGTTATTGAAGTGAATAAATACATTTTTCGAATGCATTTTTGGCAGAGGCTGCCGGCACGAGTCAAGCGCAAATCATCGACCGTTGCAGTTACAAAACTTGCGCCGATGATTTTCATTTAATGATAGAAAGTTGGCGTCGTCTACGTTATGTCGAACGACTTTCACTTGTTATTTAGCGCGAGAGATGCGTTGCGTCACTTTCTCGATTACTAGATTGCGTTTTAAAAATGCTTAACCGATCCGAAAGCAGGTGTTTTTTTTTTCAGTCTTGGATTATACCGTGAGACTAGTAAAAGTAAACTTGACTCGCTTTCATTACCTTATATTTAAGATGCCAATTTAGATCCACGAACGGCCTCTCTGTGCTTTGACCTCTTATATACCATAGCTATTATAGGTTTCTATTCAAAGGTCAAATGTCAAACTGGAATTTATTTTTTTATTGTTAACAGAATGATTATTTACAAAATATTCTCAGAGTTAAAACGTTAGAGTAGAAAAATATAAGAGAAAATATTTTTTGATACTGTGTTGGTTTTGTTAGGTAGTCCAAAGCAAAGATAGCATTTTTGTAACGTAGCTGCTCGCCATAATCTTGAGAAAGCCCACAAACAACAGTTCTCCCTTTGCCAGCTTGATAAAATTTACTTTCAGAAATCATCCCATTTGCTATGAGAAGTAGTTTGAAAAATAGTTCACCATCTGGGACAAACTTTTTTGCCAAAGAATATAAAAAAGTCCTGGAATGCAATTATATACATCGATCTTCATAGTTTCAGCCATAAACAGGTCAAACAATTTCTGGAATTCATAAATTGTCACAGTTATTTTTATTTCACTCAGATGGTTGCCAAAACTTCAGGCGTTGTTCTATTTAGTCTATTAAGTAATCGATCAAAACCTAACGCCAAAGATTTTTGGACGTAGACCAAAATTAACGTTGGCGCATTGGAATTTTTTCTCCAACATTGATATAGACTGCATACAAAGTAAATGCAGTCAAGTAGACTGACTTGGTATCTACCAATGGACTAATGTTGCTTTTAATTGTGCAAACGTATAAATACAAATGTGAACATAATTTATTTCGAGGAACAATACAAATTCTTTTTTGAAAATTCTGAATACAGAAAATGTTTTCAGCGCAAGTGAAAGATTGGGAACTTGAGAAACATAATAATATGGAGTTCAGAGATATTGTACTTCTTGTTCATAACTGCCGTGTAATAATTTCAAAAATATAACTATATTTATTAGCCCACATCATTTTGCCCTGTAATTTTGAGGCTATTCAGACGCGGCGACAAGTAAGTAGACACACAGACCGAACGATCAAAATGAATCAGAATCCATGTTTTTCTGGACTTATCGTGCAATTTTTTAATCTACTTTATGCCCTAGTAAATATTGCCACGCTTTTCTTGTATATTGTATACATAAACTTTCCAATAAAACCGATTCCCATCTTTTGCTAATGTCTATCTCAGTTTTATCTGTTCGCAGAAATTGCAGACTTCCATTTTAAGCTCCAATACAAAATAAATGAATATTGAAATCTCGCTGGTGAATGCAAGCAACTAATTAGGGCCCCGACCGTTGATATAACGGTACTTTTAAGCAGCGAGATCCGATCACTCGATGCACATTTGCGCCAAGATTATTGCGGCCCATTATAAATAATATTGTACCGTTGAACTTTCTATACGTAATGCTACTTGCTCCGGGTTAATCGGTTTATCGCGTTTTATATAAAAGCTGAATCGATTGCGTTTCTATCAGACTCGCACGCATTTAGATGGGTTTCCATTTGAGCATATTGAAATTGTTTCTTACATCCAGAATACGATGATCTTCGGATCCCTGAAGTTTGCTAAACAAAATCTCTGGTTGAACGGTTTTAGAAACATATCACGGTTTCCTTAGTCAAAGATAATTACTTTTGGACCAAGAGCACTATTTTTAGTGTGAATCCAGTTGATATCTAATTTTGCTTCAGAACGTTACCCTCCATTAATTTTTTTCAAGTGGTGATATTCTTTGAAATCACCGCCATGATATTTCTAATGCCAAATAACTTTTTTCATCCGGTGTCAACATGCTGTACATTTTACGCTGGTTGCGTACGAAATTGTACAAAAAACACACCAATCTAAATCAATTTCGTTTTGCTTTCTCACAAATAACAATACTTAATTTTAACAAACGTAAAGAAATAACACGCGCCAATTATAAAACATTGTATCGAGTCAAAAACCCAGCCAAGGCTATGAATTGGAGGAACAATAAAAAACAACCATAAACATGTAAGTGGCTTATTGTTAATTATTGAAAAACGTGCGAAAAACATTACGATGCGGTCCTACGCGGTTTAATTTTCCACTGATTGAATAGAAGTTGTAATATGCACTATATCATGCAGTTGGTTGCAAAGGATATGATATTTTGGTTAACAAATAAACGTAGCTGAATTTTCTGTATTTTCTTTTTGAGAACCGAGTCATATTTTAAGGTTTTAAAATTGTTAAAATTCATTTTTTTGTAAGTCTATTAAACTAGACCAAAGATATAAATAAGAGAGAAGAACATCAATGAGGTGGAATTTAAACTCGTCATGATACTGACACGAGTGATCACCCTGTAAGGCTTTACACTTTACCATTCTATCCTGTGTGGAAACCAGCTGTTGCTCGACAGTGCAACTATAGTAAGTACCTCTTTTTTGTATTCAATAGCGTCTTTATTTGTAAGGACTTGCGAGTTATTCCTTTACCAACCCTTTGCAGCACGCAAGTGAGATTTTGCAGAGTCCCGACCAATTAACCCCCACACACAATCGAGACAAAAATCTATACATTGTTTTTCAGTATAAAAGGGATTCAATTTTATAGAAAAACCTTGAAATAAAATTCTCCCAGGGGTTGTGCCATTTGAGATCCAAGCGACAATACGGCATTGCTAATGATTTTATTCTGCTTTTATTACACACGCCTGAAGTTTCAGCCTGCAAAGAGATGGCTCATGTTGAAAACAACAAGAAACAAAAAGAAAGAAGCGCTGAGCTGGCGTACACGCGCCAGACAGTCAACGTAACCAGCCAACTCGATGCCTCATTTTTCCAGTTTCAGCGACAGGGCAGGAATAAGGTCACATTACGTCAATTTAGCACTAGAACTAGTTTGCCTCTTTCTCTTAACATGCTCACGACGCATCTCGAATGTTTACAATTGTTTCAAGTTAAGAAATGTCACAGAATATCAGTTTGTTTCCGGTATGAAACCGAGTAAAATTGCTAGAATTCAATCTGTTTTCCATTAGGATTGATGGCCTTTGAACTCCAATTTCCCTCCTCCAAATAGCGTCATGAGTTTAGTTTGTTTCACATCACAATGCCTCAAATTCCAAACTGTGTCAAGTTTCATTCGTTTGTGACGAAAAA